CTCAACCTCTAAGTTTTACTAATAAACTATCATTATTGTTTGATATTGCAGCATCAAATGCAGAAAATTAAGAAAAGAAAAGATACCTCCCGTAGTATCAATAGTCAGATCTCAGATATAGACTTTCTCTCAGATCAGCGTCACTTAAAAAAGCAATTTTTGGGCCCATTAGACAAGAGTTATGCTATGAAAGTGAAAAGAAAGGAGGAAAAAGAGAAACATAAAATCAAGGATATTGAAAAAGAGAAATCTAGAAAGGAAAACATAGAAGAAAAAAGCTTCAATGTATTGGCATTATTTGATAATGAAGACAAAACTTATAATAAAAATAAAGAAAGTAATATTGCTAGACTGTAAAAAAAAAAATCAAAATATTAGAAAACACTAAAGTTTTCTTAATGGCTGATAGGTTGAATCTATCCAACAGAGAAAGATCTGGAATCATTTTAGCTGTAGCTGAAGCATTAGGTCACAATTTAGATGAAATATCTATCTCAAAAAGCACAGCGCACAGATCAGGTAATAAAATTCGACAGCAAGTTTCAGATGATCTTAAGAAAACATTCATTTCACCCATGTACTCTTCCATTCACTGGGATTCAAAGCTAGTATCTGAGGTCGATAATAAAGTGGAACAATTGGCTATTGTTGTAACAGGAAAACCAAGTGCACTTGAAGGGAAATTGTTGTGTGTATCCAGGATTCCTGATACAACTGGGCGAAGTCAGGCAACAGGATAAATGGTTCTGCAAAGTTAATTAAAGAACACTTTAACAAAAAGTTACTTTGGTGCGCCTGCCGACACCATACTTTTGAAAGAGTTTTGTCTTCTGTTTACTTAAAAGTTTTTGGAGAATGTAGATCTCCAAATTATGAGCCATTTAGATATTTTAAAAATGAGGTATGGCCTAAGCTTTCATTAACTTCAGATACTACTTTTAGAAAAATAAAAATCGAAGAACCAGTATTTAAGACCAAACAAGCAGAAGTAATAGTTTTTTTGTCTGGTTTACTTAGGCGGAAATCTCGAAAAATGTTAAGAGATGATTATCGAGAATGTTGTCAACTTGCTTTGCAATTACTCAATCCAAAACAAATAAATATACAGTGACACAAACCTGGAGCCTTCCATCATGCTAGATGGATGTGTACAATCTCGTACACATCAAAGATGTTTGCTTTTGCTGACCTGGCAGAGTATGAAGAAAGTTTTATAGAGAAATTGTCACGGTTTTGTAAATTTAATTTACTATTTTATGTGAAAATATGGCTTACGTGCACAAGCACAATCGATGCTCCATTTAATGACTTGGAATTCTACAAAGAAATGCTTATTTATAAAAAAATTGACAATGATGTTGCTGTTGCTGCCCTGGAAACATTTAATCGGCATCTTTGGTATTTACCCGAAGAAATGTCCCCTCTTTCATTATTTTCTGATAAGGTATCTGATTGAGATAAAACTAAAATTGCTAAAACAATACTGAAAAATATAAAAGAAAACTGTGAACACGATATAGGCTTTCCACAATTTCCTCTTCTGAAGCAGAGTACTTGTTTGACTGATTTAATTGGACCAAAATCAAGTAACATTTTAAATTTATTTGGATATTCAAATGAGGACGGCAGTTGGTTGGTAAAATGCCTAAAGTTGGAAAGCTAACACAAATTTTAATCACATGTTTGAGCATAACAAATCACTAAAATCTGTTAACGAGCTGTTAAACTAATACAAGACTATGCAACATCTATTACAAAAGATGATAAGCAGAAAGAATTTCTTTTACGTGCAGTAGAACACTACCCAAAAGTTCTTCCTTACATAAATAAACAAGCAATTCAAAAACTTAATTTTTGAAAATATGCTTTAAACAATCTCTTTTATTATACCTTAAAAATATTCTCATTTTATTGATATAATTTAAAAAAATTGAGATTCTTAATTTCTTAGTATTTATCCCATGGTGCTTTAATATTGCTAATTTATACCAATTATTTCTTTTTCAAAAAACAAAATTACACAATAAAATTATAAAAAATGTGAACATAGTTTATTATCGAAAATAATTTAAGTCCTTTGTGTCATTTTTTTAGAAAAAAAAAAAAAAAAAAAAAGAGCGGCGGGGGGGGGGGGGGGGGGGGAGGCAAATATGAAAAATTTTTGATTATTTTTTTTTGTTGCTTTTAGTAGATAAAAATACATACGAAACTGATTGAAAATCTAGAAATAATTAAAAACTAAAAAAATTCATGTCGTTTTGGGACACCCTAATATATATATATATATATATATATATATATATATATATATATATATATATATATATATACATTATATACATATACATATATATATATATATATATATATATATATATATATATATATATATATATATATATATATATATATATATATATATATATATATATATATTCTTATAGTGTAGTCGAAAGAGTCGTTTAATGTAAAAAAAAGTTTCTTTCGACTACAATTTTAATTACCTCGTCTCTTAAGCTGTATTTGATTGTTGTCGAAATGTCAAAGCAATTAAATAAATGCGGAAGTACATTAAATTTTATTGTTTTTTAAAAAAATTTTAAAAAACCGCAATAATAACGACTAGAAAGTTTTTTTTAATTTGTAGTGTTTTTGTTTTTGCTTTATTAAAAAACATTTTTAAAACATGCGTAAATGTTGCAACACCAACTATCTTATAGCCTGACTCTCCACGGAGTGCTGCTACATCGACTGACAACTAGCCTGACTGGCAAGGGAGTGCTGCTACATCGACTGACAAATAGCCTGACTCGCAAGGGAGTGCTGCTACAACAACTGACAAATAGCCTGACTCGCAAAGGAGTGCTGCTACATCGACTGAGGGTTTGGTTTGGGCAGGCAGTCTATCATTTAAAAAAAAAAAATTTAAGTTTTTAAACTTTTTCTGGTCTGGTTTATTAACGCGCTCTTTAAAACTACAGTTTATGGGAAACTCTTTTTAACTACCATGCAAGAGTATATATATATATATATATATATATATTTATATATATATATATATATATATATATATATATATATATATATATATATATATATATATATATATATCCAAGTTTAAGCATCTTTTTTCATAATATTGTAATAGAACAATATTAATAAAAACTCCTAACATTTTGTAGAATATAAAACAATAAATATTTCCAATATCGCAAAAGTTTAAGCATCTTTTTTCATAAAAAAAAAATTTAATTGAAATTTTTTTTTTCTTGGATTAATTTTACAGCGGTTGTTTTGAAGTAATATTACAGCAACTTTTGATTACAATTACTTTACTCAGGCTCAGATAAATAAAAACATTTTGATTGCATCTTAGCGTTGGATATCTGAAAAAACAACAACACTCATAAAAAAATGATTCAAAAAACTTGAATCATTTTTTTCAAATCGAAGCGAAACTTGATTTGTGAATTGAATTGATTTGCAGAGCTCTAATATATATATATATATATATATATATATATATATATATATATATATATATATATATATATATATATATATATATATATATATATATATATATATATATACAGGGTGTTCGGGATAAATTTGACATATTTATAATTGATTATATTTTTTTGTAGATTATAGGTATTAACACACACTACAGGTCATTTAAAAGTTTGAACCCTTCTTCATTCATATACAAGATGTCAGAAAGGATGGATGACTGGAACCCACCTGAATCATGGAAGAGAATAACGTGCATCATGATGATTCGTGCCGGCCATCAAAATAAGGATATTATGACTGCTGCCCAATGCTCCCTGAACACAGTAAAAACAATCAGGTATGAACTAGAGATTTGCAATGGTGACTACGAGGATGTAGTAAGAAGAAAGATCCCTAGCAGACGATCTGATTGCGTTCGTACAGCAGAATTCCTCGCAAGTCTGCAGGAACAGGTGTTGAAGAACCCTGGCATTGGAATTCGGGCTTTGTCACGTGAAATGAATGTTGCATCCTCTACTATGAAGCTTGCACTCAATGAAGACCTTCGCTACTACTCATACAAGCGCCACAAAGGTCAGCTACTCACAGAAAAGGCCCGTGAAAAACGTTTGATAAACGCGAAGAAACTTCTAAACAAAGTGAAACATCCTCTAGAACCACAAACAATCTGGTTTTTTTCCGATGAGAAAAACTTTTGCCAGGATCAAAAACACAACACGCAGAATAACAGGTGGCTTGCATGCAGTACAAAGGACATTCCTCGTGTAATGCAGACTAAATTTCCCCAAACTGTGATGGTTTTCGGATGTGTATCCTTTGAAGGCGATGTGATGGCTCCGCATTTTTTCCAAGAGGGCCTCAGGTTGACTTCAGATGGCTACGTGGAGTTGCTGAACACTGTAGTCAAACCCTGGATAACAAGGGTAGCCAATTGTAGGCCGTATGTATGGCAGCAGGATTCGGCCCCTTGCCATACCTCTGTGAAAAGTCAAAAATGGTTGTCTGAAAATTTCTACGACTTCACCAGTCTAAATGTTTGGCCTCCAAACTCTCCAGACCTTAACCCCATAGATTATTTTGTATGGGGCGCAGTTGAAAAAGACACTAATTGCACTTCCAGTAATACAAAAGCCCAGTTAGTGGATAAAATTAAAACAGTTTTTGAGGCCCTTCCCAGGGAGACTGTAGCATTAGCTTGTTCAAAATTCCGAAGCAGGATTGAAGCAGTGATCGATGCTAATGGTGGTTATTTTGAGTGAATTTTATTCATAGTATTGTAATTTACTATGCCTGTAACTTTTTTGTCAACTCATTAAATTTAATAGATACAAAGAAGATTTTCCTTTTTCTTTCGAAACTGTCAAATTTATCCCGAACACCCTGTATATATATATATATATATATATATATATATATATATATATATATAAACTAATTAACTAATTAAATTAAATGCAAATATTAAAACAAAGAATAATTAAAACCTCTGATGATGACTCTTCTAAAAGCTTTGAAAATGATTGTAGAATATCTCTAAAAAAATTATTCTATAAAAAATGATAGTCGAATTGCTTTTTTTGTAAATTTGTGTTTATATAAAAAGAAAAAATTATAATTTTGTGTAAATTAATTTAAAATATTTAGCTCCTTTTGTTTTATTTAAATTTCATTCAGAAATAAAATTAAAAGAAAAACTGTATGAAAACAAGAAAACATAAAATCATGTGTGTAATACACTTAATGAGGTGTAGTGGAAGAGCACTTGCTTTATAAAACTGAAGTTCTCAGTTTTTTCTCACCACATCCCTGGTAGTAGTACAATCCATTTGTTTCTCCGTGCAGCAGCCTTGTTTGTCAAGGTTCAGGCTTCTGAGTTCTGAGTTGTAAACAATAAAGTAACCTCAAGTATCAAATAACCTCTGACTGTAGTGGCCCCCATAGCATTGTGGTGGTGAATAACATTTTTTTGAAGTAATAGAACAATATTAATAAAAACTCCTAACATTTTGTAGAATATAAAACAATAAATATTTCCAATATCGCAAAAGTGCAGTAAAAATATATTTCTGGCTAACACCCTGTCTGTCTATCTATCTATATATCTATCTATCAATTAATCTATATATATATATATATATATATATATATATATATATATATATATATATATATATATATATATATATATATATATATATATATATATATATTTATATATATATATATTTATATATATATATATATATCAACCCTCCGAAATAGAGTCGATATTTCACTTTAAAAAAAATGCAAACAAGAGACTTGGAGTTTAGAATTTTTTTAATCTTTACATAAGAGAAACGCTAACTGACAATGTTGTACATTCTTTTTGTTATAATTTTAATAGTTAGCAAACTCATTGGAGTTTAGTTCTGTTGTGTTTTTAATATGCATTGCAGACAAAAAAATTTAAAAAGAATTCATCTTTAAGGATTTATGGTAGTAAAACTAATAAATGAAATTGTATCAAAATTTGTATTATAAAAAATTCACAAATATAGAAATTTAAAAAACCATTTAAAACATACTTAAAGTATTACTAGTTAGTTAGTCTAAATACCACAGTTTAAAACAACATAAATGATTTCTTAGTTTTTAACTGGAGATAAGCATTTCATAAATCAATAATCATGGCATTCTTTTCATTATTTTCCATTCTTTCAGGATATCCTGTCCAAAACAGGTCAGATTTTATTAACTAATAAAAAACCTTTATTATAATATAATTAGTTTTGTCTGAAAATTAAATGTTTACTGGAGAGTAAACATTTAATTTTCAGAAAATGAAAATTAAATACTTATCCTGTATTTAATTTTCATATTCTGTTCCAGCATAATTTGGTTTCAATGTCACCACTGTCATTCATTTTGACATGGTTCAAAGCAACTTTTACTTTGGGTAATACAACACAGATTGGGTCTGTCATAGCTCATAATCTTAAGATGAAACCTCAACTATTATATTTAAGTTTTTCAAACAATGTTTACTAAATAAGTAGCTTTTCAAAAAAGAGTTGTTCTTGCTTTATATTGGCGACTTAGTATCATACAATTCAAATAAATAATTTTAAATTTGGATCTTTGTTTGGCTAGCTTGATGGTTTTTTTTGCATAAACACATTTCTTTAGTAAATAAAACTTGGATTTTCATGTAAATATTATATTAGTTAAAAATCCACAAATATCTCTTAAAACTTCCATTTAAAAAAATTCCTTAAACATTTTTAATTATAAATTGTTAAAATAGTGACATGATTGTCATCAAATATACAATTTACACAAAAGTTAAAAAAAATAATAACAATCTTATGATTGTTGTTATTTTGTTTAAATGACACAATTATATAAAAAAAAAAATCAAACTTTTGATTGTTAGCAGTAACTTTTTGCTGTTGTACTTCTTGAAACTTTGCATAAGAACTTCCACTGCTCAATCCCCCTCCACCACCTAACACATTACATAAAGACTGCGTTTTTTTTATTTTTGATGCAAACAATAGAGGTCTTTTTGAATAATTGAGATGAGCATCATCTTGCTAAACAAATCATTAAAACAGAGATAACAAAAAATCAAGTAGAAAATAAAGGTGTAATCATAAAAAAGTACTAAAGATTTTTATATGGTGGGTCCAATAATATAACTGGATAACTTAAATTTTGATGGTTTTAAGATATCTCAAATACGCTATCGTTATTAAAATAAAGACGGTTATCAAAAATAGTTGTTGAAAAAAACTTTTAAGGCAAAAATTTAAACTGCCATTATTATTTTTATTTAACTGCCATTATTGTTTAGTTGTAGCATTGAACCCATAATATCTTTGTAGAAAAACAACAAGTAAATATAGTAAAAATAAAAGATACATTAATTGAAAGTAGCTAAATACTAGTTAGCAGAGTAATGGCTGGATGTTCTGATGAGAAATAATTAGTAAGTAGACTGAGTGTTTGCTGTATGTTATAAGTTAATTGAGAATATTATATTACTATAGAGTAGTTATAAGCAATACGAGGTAGTTATGTAAGTAATATAATGGGTCATATGATAATTGATAATATGTTAGACAATATAATTAGATATTTAGTAGATAATATGATGTTTTTTAATTAGACGGTGGAAAGTATAATGGTAAACACTACAATCCTAAGTAGTAACTATATATAAATATAACTGTAATGACAAAAAAAAAACACTAAAAAAAACACTAAAATATAGCAAACCCTAGCCTATGCCTTGGGGAGGTAATAATAATAATTTATTAAAAAATTATTATTATTATTATATATTAATATCGATATTCCTAAAAATGTAGGTGTGCACTCTCCTAATTTATTTACACAACTTAACTTTTAAAATGTCAACTTAAATTCAGATGATTTTTTTTTTAAAAAAACTAGCCTTTACTATGTTTGCATATTATAATAAGAGATGATTTAAGAGAAAGATATAATAAGAGATGAATTAAGAGAAAGAGAATTTTAAAGCATCAATGTTTAAAAAAAAAACACTGGATAAAGTGAAAAAAAAAAAGTAGTTTAAATAATAAATAAATAAAGTTTGCAGATACAGTGAAAGAATGCATGTAAAAGAATGCATTTGAAATAAAAGAATGCAAGAATGCATCTTGCTGAGTAATTAATAAGGTGAGATTGACTTCTGGTTAACAGAATAAGTTATAATAACTTGCTTGAGTACCTAACATGGTTCTCATGCAAGTTATTAACAGACAACATCCTTTAACATCAATCTTTGGTGATCCGATTGTATGTTCATCATATTTCAATAACCATCCTTGTTTTATCCACTCTTGTTATTTGCTCTCATACTCTTGCTTAACACCTTCCCAAACTTCTTACTGAACCAATATATTTGCAAATAGGTTGGAATCATTTCTATCCTTCTATATCCATTTTACTTTCCAATACATTCCATCAAAAAATGCTTTTCATGGTTTCGCTTCTTAATTTCAAGTTTCCTTTAATTTTCTACTGCTGCTCATAAATTCCCGAGAAAACCTACTTCTCCTGACAGAAGTAAAACATATTGAGTATCCACAATAGCTTTTACGGCTCTATCATCAACCTTTATTTGAATGACAACAAGTACACTTAGTCTATGGCTTCATACAAGCAAACACAAGAGATTATAAAGGAGACACAATTTTTAGCAGAGAAATGAGAAATATCAGGTCACTGTCCATCTCAAAGAAAATCGCATAAGAAATCTTAGTCATAAGATAGTAGTAAGAGGTGTGATGATAGGGTGATGACGACAGGATGAATCTAATGTACAAGAAGTATGAGATAATAGTTTAAGTGAGATCATAATATGATCTGAACCACCTAATGAAGATCAAGAGACAAGAAACAAATTAAAGAGAGGAGGTAAGCAATTAGGGTTGTCTGGGTAACAAATCAAAAAATTAGTAAGAAACATAAAAAAAATTTAGCTTAAAGCCATTAAAAAAAATAAAATTAGATCACAATATTCAGACAACTTTCTTAAAATAAAATGTGTAGGAAAGTATTAAAAATATATGAGGTTAAAAATTACCTGAGAACTAGATTGTGACCAGTAATCACTTGTGCCAGGGTTCTGTTGTGAGTCACTGTGAGAATGATGTGTATCAAAGGGTGCAGTAAAACTTTGAGAAAACATTTCTTGTGAATTCTGTGATTGGAAACCATGGTGACTCAGATCTCTAAAAAAAATCATTAGTACACCATACTAAAACATAAGGTACAAAATGTTTAAATAAAAAATTACTTTAAATAGTAAACAAAGATACTATAATATATAGAAAACAAGTACTAGTTATCTATATATGCTTATGTGTACATTTTAATTATTTTAACATTTTAATTATATATCATGATTTGATGAAATTTTGTATGTTAATGATAAAATTAAGTTCATTCCATTAAAATTTTAAAAAAGACACACAAAACTTTGAAAAGTTATGTAGGTCAATTTAATATTTACTGTCTTCTATGTAGGTCAATTTAATATGTAGGTCAATTTAATATTTACTGTCTTCTATGTAGGTCAATTTAATATTTACTGTCTTCTATGAAAATGACACCCATAAGTATAACATCACATATAGTTCGCAGAAAACTACCTAAGCTTCCTTCTCAAACAAATCATTTATGTTATGAGAATTTTATAAATGTTCCCTTCTTGCCTGAAATAATGAACCATCTCCAGTTCCAAATAACAATGTCATGTGGGGAGTATACTCATATCAACAATTTAAATTGTTTGTGGATTCTACCTATGAAGAGATCATAAATTACCGAAGAAATATTTTCAACATTCCATCTGGAAAGGCAGGTAAAGAATTTATAGAGGAGTTAACCTTTTGGTTAAGAAAGTTTAATTCCACTTCTAGTTTAAATTCAATCGCGCTGAAAGTTACAATGATTTTGCCGAATCTTCTTTTGCAAAAACCCTCCGCCAAATCAAAGTCCAAAGAACATACATTATGTTTAACTCGTAGAATTGACCTTTGGAAAAAAGGAGATACTAGTTTACTGTTAAAAGAAGTTCGAAATATACAAAAAAATTTGTAAATTCCAAAAAGAAAAGATCTATGGACGATACATCTAGAATATTTGCCAAATTAATTATGGAAGGCAAAATCACTGCAGCGCTGAAATTTTTAGAAAAATAGGCATCATCCCGCATACTACCACTATCAGACAACACATTAAAAGACCTTAAAAGCAAACACCCTGAACCCGCCCGAGTAGAAGATTATAGCTTACTGTTTGATCCGATTGATTTAATCCCAAAATGTTTCTTTGATTGTATTGATAAGCAACTAGTTATGAAAGCAGCATTTGCAACTAAAGGATCTGCTGGACCATCAGGAATGGATGCCGATATTTATCGCCGCATCTTATATTCTAAAAACTTCATCAAAGAAGGTAAAGAACTCCGAAAAGAAATTGCTAAAATGACACAAAACTTACTAACAGAAACATATGAACCAACATTTCTAGAAGCTTTCACTGCTTGTCAATTAATTCCTCTAGATAAAAATCCAGGTATTAGGCCAATTGGAGTAGGAGAAGTATTAAGGCGTATCATAGGTAAAGTAATTAGCTGGAGCTTCAACAGTGAGATAAAAGAGGCAGCCAGGCCATTACAAACATGTACTGGACATGGGGCAGGAGCCGAAGTGGCTGTACACGCCATGAAGGAAATATTCGACAATGTGCAAACAGATGCAATTCTTTTGATTGACGCAAAGAACGCATTTAATTGTATGAATCGATAAGCCGCCTTACATAACATCCAGATCATTTGTCCATTAATTTCAATTTACTTAATCAATACTTATCGAAATCCATTGAGGCTCTTTACGGCAGGGGGTAAAGAAATATCTTCCCAAGAAGGCACAATTCAAGGTGATCCCCTTGCTATGCCATGGTACTCTTGCAACACCACGATTATTATAGAACACTTACTTGTAAATTACCCACAAGTTAAGCAGGTGTGGTTAGCAGACGATGCTGCAGCTAGTGGAAGCATTGCAAACTTACATAGCTGGTATCAACACCTTATTGATGAAGGATGTAAACATGGCTACTATGTAAACCAATCTAAATGCTGGTTAATTGTAAAATCCCCCTCGTTAGCAGAGAATGCAGGCATAGTATTTGGTAAATCGGTCAACATAACTACAGAGGGTCAACGACATTTGGGTTCAGTAATAGGTTCGCAAAATTTTAAGAACAAATATTGCACTGAGAAAGTAGCAAAATGGTTAACCGAGTTAAAACAACTTTTTAAAGTAGCAGAGACGCAACCACAGGCCGCTTTTATTGGGCTTACAAAAGGATTTCGTTCAAAATTTACATATTTGCTAAGAACTATTCCAAAATTTGAACAATATCTAGCGCCCCTTGACAAAATACTTAGTCATTTGTTGTTGCCAACTCTTTTTGGAAAAGATACGCCCTTTGAGGATCACATTAGAAAACTTTTTACATTAACTCTTTGAGATGGAGGATTAGGTATACCTATACTAGTTGAAGAAGCGCCTCACCAGTTTTTATCATCTGTTAAATTAACTAAAAATCTTGTACAGCAAATTATAGATCAAGATACAATTTTAAAAACAAAAAACTCTTCCGGGAATATTCTAGAAGATCTTGAAAAAATATTAACTACTGACAGAATTAAGCATCGCAAAGAGAAAACAATTGCAGTTGATTCAATGCAACCAGATTCAATGTTAAGAAACATACAGCAAACAAGAAGCGAATGTGCTAGCACCTGGTTAAACGCCTTACCACTAGAAAACCAAGGTTTTGTTTTAAATAAAGAAGAATTTCGAGATGTACTTTGCTTACGTTATAATTTTGACTTGAAAAATATCCCTCGTATTTGTGAATGCAGAGAACCTTTCAATGTAATTCATGCATTGTCGTGTAAGAAAGGAGGCTTCATTTCAGGTCGTCATGATAACATAAGAAATTTGTTCACCACATTGCTTAAAAGAGTGTGCATAAATGTTCAATCCGAACCACACCTCATACCCCTTGATAATGAGAATTTTTATTTCTATACAGCAAATAAAAGTAACCAAGCTCGTTTAGATATTAAAGCAAATGGTTTTTGGCGAAATGGACAGACAGCATTTTTTGACGTAAGAGTTACGCATGTCAATTCCATGAGCAACAAAAATCTAGATATAGCTGCTATATTCAGAAAACACGAAAAGGAAAAAAAAAGAGAGTATGACGAACGAGTTCGTGAAGTTGAACATGGCAGCTTGACACCACCAGTGTTTGGTACAAATGGAGGTATGGGTAAAGAATGTCATCGGTTTGTTAGAAGGCTAGCGGAGAAACTAGCGGAAAAACAAAATGAAAAATACTCAGTTGTTATGACATGGTTAAGAACAAAGTTATCGTTTGAGATACTTCGCTCAACTATCCTTTGTTTAAGAGGCTCAAGAACACCCTGGACTAAAAAAAACGATTTTGAAATCGGTGTTGATTTTAAGATGGATACTCTAGAAGCAAGAATCTGAGCTCTTATAAATTTATATTATAGCATTTTGTTTTACTTGTATATTTGTTAAAGTGGTTTAAATCCCTTTAAGAAAATCAACCATAAGAACGCTATTGAAGACTGTATAGTGCAAAACTAAAACAAACTGGCTTATCGACGTCAGATAAATTTTCTTAGGATGAAAAAAATCTAACAATATGGTAGTCGAATACAAAAAGTATAACCGAAATACATGGTATAAGCTATTAGAGTGACTAAAAGGTAATAGAAAAAAATTAAAAATTAAAAGTAAGTAAGTAAAGTGGCTACCACCTAAAGGGAGGTAAAAGTGATAAACAAATGGGTTTGTCTTGTAAAGAACGCATGCTAAACTTAATCTATTTTTGTCTTGTTTTGGGGCGTTCCATATGTAAAAAGTGTATAGCAAAGTTTGATCGTTGTAGTCCTTGTGTGGTTAGTACGTATTTTATAAGATATAAAATGCATTTATTGTGATATTTTATTTTTTTATTCTAAATAAAATATGGATATTTACAAACAATATAATACATTTCATATAGTCAATAATAACCAATGTAGATAAGTAATAAAAGCAACATGTGCAATAATATATTTACTAAAGAATTTTTTTGCCGTACATATATCTAGTGTTCAGAATTCAGTTATTCAGAATACCATAAGAAACTATGCGACATCACTGTCAGGCTGGCAAGACAGTGATGTAACAGATAATTTATGTAAAACTGCGTATATATAACTGTGGAAATAATATTTTATTAGTGGAGTCACTTGCACCAGAAAAATTGTGTCATTGGATGTTTCAAACTTCATGATTCCATTATTAAAAGAACAGAGAGAAGTCAATCAATGATCAATGTAATTATTGTACATCAACAACTACATGGATCAAAAGATTAGTCACATGTGATTATAATGATCAAAACTAAATCTATTTAGTTTTGATCATTATAATCACATGTGACTAATCTTTTGATTAGTCACATGTGATTATAATTGTAATTTTAGATGATAATCTAAAATTACAATTATAAAGGCTTTCCTTTTCTGATGCCTGCTGTTACAATAGATTTTAAAAAGAACCTAATAACTTAAGTTATGTGATCTTTTTATGTTGTTAACTAAATGTCAAGACAAATAAAAACAAGCAGAACTAAACTGATTATTTATAGATAAATTTGTATTTTATTACATATTTTCAGATGATACATCAAGTTAAATTGTTATTAATGATTTATTTACGAATAACACGTATTATGGGTTTCTTACTGCTAGTTTTCTAATACATAAAAAATTTAAAATTATTATGTGCATTTTTTTATTAGATAATATTTAAAATAAAATTTGATATAAACTTTAATAAAAGCTCATTTAACAATGATACAGGGTAGCAAAGTTATATAAATTTAATTTCTGTGCGTTATATTCAAAATTCTCATAAATAAACAAAAGTCTAACTCCTCCACTCTTACATTACAATACTTAAAATTACTTATGTGTCTGTGTTTAACTTTACTTTGTTTATTTATGAGACTGTTAAGAAAATAATAGAAACTTTATTTTTGAAGTTTATTGTTAGTAGAAACTTATTGTTAATAGAAATTTACTGTTAATATAATATTGTTAATAATAATAATGTTAATAATAATATTGTTAATGATAATATTGTTAATAATAATATTGTTAATAATAATATTGTTAATAATAATATTGTTAATAATAATATTGTTAATAATTATATTGTTAATAATAATATTCTTAATAATGATACTGTTAATATAATATTGTTAATAATAATATTGTTAATAATAATATTGTTAATAATGATATTGTTAATATAATATTGTTAATAATAATATTGTTAATAATAATATTGTTAAAAATCATATTGTTAATAATAATATTGTTAATAATAGCATTGTTAATAATAATATATAATATTATTGTTGATAATAATATTGTTAATAGATATTTATTTTTAATAGAAATTGAAATGTTGTTGATATTTATAATATTTTAAATATGGAGCTGATCAGTAAATAATGACACCAATGATGTGTCAGATAAACTAAAAATAAAGATTGTAATTTTTTTTTCTTAAACAACTGGAAAATTTTTACATTGTTTTGTTGGACTTTTAATTTAGAGTATTTTTAAATTGATATTGAAAACTTATATACTGATCAGTCAATCATTTGTTATAGAAGGTATGAAGTAGTTTTTAGACTGACCTATAGCATTTTCTTTTTATAGTCACATCCTAATGTTATATTTTTATCCACATAATAATTTTTTAGGTATATGGCCCCAACAAAAATGTAGCATGTATTTCATAAAGCATTCAAAAAAACATTTAGTTGATAGTTTCACTTTATCTTCTTATTCAACCATTGAGTGTAGAAACGGCCATATACTTTTTATATTTGTTAAAAATAAAGAGCCATTTACTAAAACCGTTAAATTAGTCAATGAGTATGTTAGCTTTAACTAAACCACAAATAATATCTATAACCTTGTGAATATACCCAATTATAACTTAACAATTGGACTCAAAACTATAAAAGCTAATCTAAAAATTATTTTGCCTTTTGCAATGAGCTTTTTGTTTCTCATAGACCATTGGATACAATTGTATTACACTGATTAAAAAGTTGTATGAGTATTTATTAAATGAATTTTTTTTGAGATTAAATTTAGAATCTAAATAAAATATTGTGTATTGTTTTTCAAATAACAAAATATCGTTATTTTTAAAGTATTTATACAAATTATTAGATATATTAAATAATTCTTTCACTAGGTTATTAATGATTTTAGGTTTAAAAAAAAAATTAAAACAATGTCAAAACTTACAGAACCATGTCATGTCATGTTATGCTGATTTAGCATAAAATTACCAAACTGCAAGTATTGTGACTTGCAATTTTATGATAGATGGCGTCATGTCTATCGTTATCATTATTGAAATTTAAATTTTTAACCATTTACTAAAAGCCATGACAAATTAATTACAACTTTTGTTTTAAAATGTATATAGTTTTTCTCAAGCAAGGCTCCATTTACTTAAAATATAGATACTTTGATGCATCTTGTAATGTGGTAAAAAAAAATTTATACTAATTTCTATTATTTTATATAGTATCAATTTCAATTTAATAAAATTGCATTTAAAATTAAAAAATTTTTTTTTAAGTTGGAGAGGTGAAGGGGGGGGGGGAAGAGGGCATACACTCCTCACCCTAAGTCAATGCATTTACCATTAAAATATGTTGTAATAAAGAGAAACTTAATTTTTGCATTTTATTTTAGATTTACTCATTTTAATAAAAATAAATATATTTATATTATTTAGCAGTGATTATTATTTAGCGGATTAAGACTTCTTGGGGCCCGAGGCTATTTTTGTTTTTGGAGGCCTTTTTATGGGCCAGAGCCTTAAAATGAATATAAAAAAAATATATATATATATATAAAAATATATATAAAAAAAAAAAGGTCCTCTAAAATTTTGGGGACCCCTAAATTTGCGGGGCCTGGGGCTATAGTCCCCCTGCCCCCCTTGATCCGACACTGTTTTTTTAGTCATTTTTAATAATAGGCTGTGTTAAACAATCTCACCCTTAACTCAAAAATACACTTCTTAAATTTGGCAGTGGTCTGGAAACAAATTATAACAGTTTCTTGTAAATAAAAATTACAAATTTTGTTAAAATAGGCTAATTTTATTTTTTAAAAATGAATTTTTTGACAGTATAGATGGTTGTTTGGTGCCCGCTTTAGCCCCTAAATATCTCTAAACACATTGTTCAAAACTATTCAAAATTTGTAGCCATTCTTACACCTTTCTTTTGATACCAAGCTGTAAGTAAGTTTGATTTTTTGGTATAATTAAATAAATTTTTATACAATTTTACTTTTATTAGTTGTTATTTATAACTTATTTAACTTTACTTCCTTTTTTTAACCTACTTTTTTTATGTGGTTTTAATTATTACATATTATTATTATTGTTATTATTATTTTTATCTTATTTAGATCATTGCGCTTTATTAGTGAATCACTATTTACAATAACCTGTGTTTTTTGTAACATTTTGAACACGAAATATATTGTTATTGTTGTTGTTGTTGTTGTAGGCGTTTTGATAGGAATTGGCAAAGTTATAATAATTTACGTTAAGAAAAACTTAATTTTGATATTAATTTTTATAATTTTATTACATTTAACAAATCTAAACTAAACATATCAATAAACTTACGAATAACTGCTAGACCGCCTATTTTCACTGAAACTTTGGGAAAACATTTAAGCAACAATATTTATTATCGAAATATTATTGAGTAGAAGAAGTCGTCAACAATTATTAATTAAGCCATTCGAAATAATATTTATTTACAAGAAACCCTTACAACGCATGTTTTGTTTACACTTAATAATTTTTTTTTTTTTTAAATCTTCGCGGTTTTTGCATTTAAACAAGATCTCAGCTTAGCTTTGAAGTATCGGAAACAAAATCTTTAATAGCTAGGCCTTTTTCACGCTTATTCTTTAGGGTAGATAATTTTGCTTGATTTTAGACTAATTTTAATATAATTTTAAAGATTTTGTTTGTGATAATGTAAGAGATTTATTTAATTTTCAATAGTTTTAGTTTTCAGGCATTGATGTCTTGGTACCAGTGTATATTAAGATTATTATATTTATAAAACTTTGCTCCCCTGGATCATTATTAAATAAGCTTTCATTAAAAATTATATCAAATTTGATTTTAAAGATGATCTGTAAAAAAAAAAAAATGCACAAAGTAACTTTAAAAACTTTTTACCCAGGAAAAAAAGTTCTATAGAATTTCTATAAACTTTTGAAACATATCGCCTATAGAAATTCTATAGAATTCTATAGAAATTCTATATAATCTCTATTAATTTTTATAGAAATTTCTATAGAACTTTTTTTTCTACTTTTTTTTTTTTATAGTAAACTGTTATAATACTTTTTATTTATGTAAAAAAAGTTTTATTGCAATTTCTATTGAAGTTATTAGATATTCTATAGAAGTTCTATAGAATTCTATATAACTTCTATTGAATTTCTGTTGGCAATATGTTTCAAAAGTTTATAGAAATTCTATCGAACTTTTTTTCCTGGATATATTAGAGTAGCATTTATACATCATGACTCTGATGTATTACAAAAAAAAATCTAGATTTGAAATCAGAGTTTTGTCATATATAATATTCTATGTAGTATCAACAACTTTCAAAGTATTATTATGTAATACCAACAATTTAACATTTTTTTTAATACAAAAAAACTTTTTGAAAATTTTGGTTAACGCCCACCTTAATTACCATTGATTATTAAATTTAGAATTCAATTGGTTTTAGCGTTTCCCAGCGGGCACAAGTACATTCATTTTACGTACATTGTATGTCCGCCCGTCTGAGAGAGGGTTATAACCACAAATAAGTAGCCTCCTTGTCTGTATTGGCCTTCTTGGTCTTGAGGAGGTGAATTGAAAAAAAAAAAGTTAGTGCAGAAGCACTTATGTGTATCAAAGAATAGAATTCTTTATTGCAACCAAAATTTTTCTTTATTGACTATTCAAATAAAGCAATAAATGCATTGACCTATTTTAACCTAAAATAAATACATTGACCCATTTTACTCTAAAAAGATAGATTGAATTTATTTTTCTAGGGTAAAACATTTAATTATTGTTATTTAGTGGTAATAAATAAAATTATGTAATTTAATTCCAAGAAACATGGCTTTTTATTTTTGATGGGATTTTTTGTAAATACTATTTTATTTATTATTATTTTTTAAATTACAAGCACTTAGTTATGTATTCAAAAGGTTGTTCATAAATAACAAAAACAAAAATTTTTATACTCTTGTTAAAGATGACGTATATATATGTTGATATTGATTACGTGGGCCAGCAATCTGATTGGCGCCCGTATTTATCAAATTTTCCTTATATTAGGGGAGAATTGCCTTAATTGGAACACTTTAGGAATAAATATTTATTACCCAAAGATGGCTCAACTATGAAAACATTTATGATTTGATTAATACAAACAGACATCCCTATTATACTTGTAATCACTATTTGACTTAATTGATTGCACTGGTATTGGAAATAAATTTGTTTTTGCAAAGTTACTATTTTGTTCCAATCAAGGCAACTGGTTCCCTAAATTGGAACACTTTGATTCCTTCATCAGAACAGGTTATTTTTTTAAAAGAAAAAATCCAGTAAAATTAACAAAAATTTGTAAAAAATGATTTTCATCTTTACAGTGAAAATTTAAACAGCTAATTCAAAACCTATTATAGGATTAGTATTACCCTGATAAATTTAAAGTCTACAAACAAAAAATTGTATAAATCTTCAACTGCTATGACGTTCTCAAAATTTATTGATTAAAAATCACTAAATAAAGTATTATTTTTTAGGTTTATGGTTGTTACTAAGTATTTTTTTTATTGCACTCGAACTACTTTTACAACTCTTTGATTTTATTACTAATTAAGTAAGAAAAACTTCAATGTTCCAATCAAGGAAACTTTCGACTATTTTGTTATTCACTACAATAACATGCTTGCAGCAACTTATTTTGCATTTTAAATCCCATCGAATTAAATATAAAAAACAGTATAACCGGTAGCACCATAGTTTACCCAGCGCAATCAATATAGTGTGAACACAAAATTAGATCGCTGAAAAAAAATGACGCAAAAAAAACTTTAAATCAATGGTACAAATGCAATAACTTTCAAAATGTGTCAAAACATAGAAAATAATGCGTTTCACTAAAAAAATGCAAAATATAGCCATAATTCATTTTTTTTTTCAAAAATAAATGCAAGTGTTCCAATTAAGGCGCTGTTCCAATTTCGGCAACTCTCCCCTATATATGAAAATATTTCATTTGGTGCCCTCAAGATAGTCATATGCAATTTTTTCTAGACAAAAGTTTAAGGTTACACTTAAGATTTGGATACAAAGTCCAAGAATGATGCCATAGACATTACTAATTGCAGAAAGAGTTTAAACGATATCTTTAAGGTTTAAATGTAATGATATTTTTTGGCATCAAAGCATAGATTTGAAGAAATGATAAATTTTCACTAGAAAAACGTCCTTTTATGTTCAATATTAACGCATCAAGTAGAGGGATGTAATTTAATTGTATCGGATGGTATATTTTCTCGATATGTCTGTCATTGTACTATTCTTTTGTAGGTAAAACTACCATCTTTTTCAATTATTGTTTTTTCTGCTTTTTCGCAGTTTTCTCTTTAATGTTTTAAAACAATTAACAGGTTTTAAATGCAATTTATTGCTTTATGTAAATCTAAATTTTTTTTGAAACAATTGACTGAGCCCATTTGTTAAGGAGAACACATGTACTGTACAGCCTAAAGACACAATAAAATCACTTTATCTAATTGATAATAATAAAATTCTTGCTTTTGATGAAGATGTTCTGTCATTCCATTTAGATATATTGTCCAGTGCATTATTTATTTGCGGAAGCTCAACACTAAACGTCAGCAAAGTATCATGTCTTTCAACCCATCGTGTTTCACAGAATGAATTCAGTTGCGAATTTAGCATTTTTTTATAACAAAAATTTGTTTTGAATAAGCATTAAAAAAAGCAACAACTTCGCTAATTACATTCAATTAAATTCTTATTGCTTGTATGTTCGAACTCTTAGATAAAGTTAAATTTAAAACATGATTATAAGATGGACACCTAACAGTATTTGACGCAACTTGTTGAATTTCAACTACCGCTCAATTTTGTAATGACGTCATAACAACCATCCGTTCCAACACCGACACATTTTTCTTAAAAAAGGTTTAGCTTTCTTTCAATAATGTTTGTAAACGATTGGCGAATAGCTTAGCTGTCAAGAATAGGTTCATAATAAATGGATGCATTACTTTTAGTTTGATTATTTCGATCATGGAAATCAACAAACCCAACAAAACCTTTTCGAACTTATCCAAATAGCGTAATATTATTGCCATTTGTGACTGATGTGATGCATCAGTTGTTTCGTCAAACATAATAGCATAGTAATTTGATTCTCTAACACGACTCACAGTTTGTTTACATATTTATTCTCCACAGCATTCAATTAAAGCATTTTGTGTAGTTTTGTTAATGGATTTTGCAGAATCTCTAGCTATTTTCAAATAATTTTCTAAATTGCCACTAAATTTTGGCAACTTTCAAAATTTTAGCAACTTTCAAACATTACCTTCATTTGTCATCACATCAGAATCGTCATCGTCTATGTCTAATAAGCTGCTATCATCTCTAGAGCCTCTAAAAGGAATATTTGCCTGCCTAAAAAAATAATTGTTTTAACAATAAGTGTCAATTGTTGACGATTTTCTAAAACCTGTTGGAGCCGTTAAGTGTTTACTCTGTCCATTACTGGTTTATTATAGTTTTTTAAAAAGCACCAATTTTTAAAAATATTAAAGGCATTAAGAAAAAATAAAATAAGATAAAAAAATCACTTGCTATATAACTAGCTAGTCGATTTTTAGTGTTGAGTCTATTATAATTATGAAAATTAGAGAATCTAAAGTGGAGTAGTCAACAATTGTCATAAACCCTTTTTAGTGACAAAAGCAAGTTTGTACTGTTCAGATTAGATGAAATCAGGTATGTTTAACATCCAGTAGGTACAAGATACAATCCTAAACACCAACTGCCTACCGTAAAACATGGAGGAGGTATTTTAATGCTTTGGAGATGTTTTAGCCGAGATGGGGTTGGTTCGCTCCATAGAATTACCGAGACTATAAATCAAGAAAAGTACAAAGATATATGTAAGGCTATTATGTTGCCTCATGCAATAGATAAAATGCCTCAAGGATGGATATACGAACAGGATAATGATCTCAAACATGCAGCCATATTGGTTTCAGAGTTTTTCAAAAATAATAAACTTAATGTTTTGAAGTAGCTATTCTAATCACGTGACTTAAATCCAATTAAACATCTATAGGAATATATTGACCGTAAAATAAAAAGGATCAAGTCTACAAGTCATGCTGATTTATTTAATATAAAGACTCTCAGTGGAGTGCTGCTATATCGGCTGAAGGTTTGGCATGTGGCAGCAACCTTTTCTTCCTTTTTTTTTTTTGTTTTCTTCTTTTTCTAAAAACACAGTATGCTATAAAAATAAGCAAAACGAGTGATCAAATTCTTATCTAAATAATCTATAGAAGTTGAAGCTAACTACCTAACTACCTAGTGATGGTTTTGATGATAGTTTTCTTTGAGGCCTTGCAGATGATTCTAGAGTCCAATCAATGAAAAAAATGCTTCGAGATTCTATTAAAAAAAGATTTATGAGTAATATACAATTAAAACGTCACTTTAATGTACTTACTATGTATTATTTTGATATACGATATTGATTATTTCAAATGTTTTGATTTATTTAGATTCGGAGTATATTTGGCAAATACACAAGACATGAAGAGTTAAGGAAGAAAGCTGAAACAGAGAGGTTGGTTCTAAATGATCTAGGGAGAACAGACAAAAGCAAAGAACCTACTTGGGATTGATAAGCGAATGGGTGGGGGTGTGACACCCACCCCCCATCAATTATTTTTTCGTTTAATTAGTCGGGAAATTTGACTCTTTTTGACTAGTTAATCGCCAAATGTAGATCCTTTCGACAAGTTTGTTGGTAAATTTAGACAGTGAGTCGGCTAATGTCAAAAAGACAGTGGGCAAATTTTAAAAACGAAAAATTGATGTACATAAAAAAAAGGGCCCAAAATAAAAAGGAGGTATATGAAAACAAAAATTTTACTGACAATATAGTCATTTTCTTATAATATAGAAAAATTTAAAAAAATAGGGGCGCCATCCCGGTGGAATTTAAGTTCTAATTAGACGTATAAAGATTTAAAGCAGACTTGGATGAATAGTTATTACCTTATTGTTAGTAAAGTAGGTACTGTGAAGAAATATAAGAAGCTTCATAAAAGTGAGATTTTTATTGGAAATAATCTTCACGTTTTCTATCTCAAGTCAAAGAAAATCATTGTCTATTGCTGTGACCATTATTTCATTCCAAGAAATGTTTTTAATCACTTGGTAGAATACCTTGGATTCTTTATATGAGTATCAATTCATCCAAGCTTGAAAAGTTTAGTTTGTATTAACCAGGCTTGTGTGACAGCATCAAAATAGGACTTTTGAATATTACGTCTCTAATTAATAACTTCCTGAGTGATGATCAGAAGATTCTAGTCTCCGAGGTAAAGCATAGAGTGACAATCTTTATCGTCATTTTATGCTTTGCTCATTAAATCCTTAGCATGTTCAAATTCTTAAAAAAGTTTTTTTGATTTTTTTGCTTTTTTGGGTTACCCTGTTTCTTTATTAATAAGCTATGATTTCTTTATTAATATATATACACCCATGTTTCTTTATTATTATACTATGATTTGGGGATCAAAAGCTTTTAAGAAATAAAAACTTTAAAAGATAACATAAATTATTAAGTAAAGAAATAAAACTCCTTGTAAAAGCTTAATAAAATATAAAAACAATTTAGCAACAAACTCGAAGCACAATCTAAATCCAGTTTATGCATATATAAACAGTAAAACCAAAGCAAAAGATTCCATAAAAGCACTCAATACAAATGAAAAGTTAACTTATGATTAAAACGGTATTAATAATGATGGAATTAAAATGGAAATATATTAAAAGACTACATTATATTTAGGCTCAAATAGTATACCATAAAAAAAGTTACAGTAAATCAACAAATGTAAGTAACTAAAGTTTAGCATTGATATCTATCAAGAATCACCTTGAAAAATTAAATACCAAAAAAGCAATGAAAGCTAATAAGGTTCATCTAAAGTTTTATAATCAGCAAAGACGTCAAAACCATTATTGAAAATATTTGAAAAAATGTTTGACACTGGTAGTCTACCCAAAGTTTGATTTAAAACCAACATAGTACTTTTTTTTTACCAAACTTTATACTGTCAAAATTTTTTCACTGCTACATACTACTAAAAGATTCACATATACCACCTCCCACTTGTCCATACTTTTAATAGTGTAGCTCCATTGAATATATTTGTAACCTAGAAAAAATTACAAATGTTTTGTCTTTTTCAAGCAAATCATCAATCGGAAATATTTGCATTTAATGTTGCGATAAGAAGTTTGTTTAATGTAAAAAATTTATGTTTGTTATGTTAAAATGTTGACCGAATTTTAATCGAATTTGTGATTTTTACTTAAAATGTAGGTTAATCTCCTTTAACAACATCATTATGGAGCTGATTAGATGTTTGAATTTCTGTTTTGAATTAATTTTGATAAATAATTTATAAAACAATGATAAAACTTGTGCTGGAATCATTTCTAACATTTTAACTCAAGATCGCAGCTGAAGTTATTTTATCAAAAATTGTCAATGCAAATATTAAGACCTTTTTAGTTATTTTCAGGAAGAGTGACATGATAAATAATCTACCTTACTTTTTTCAAGTTCCCATTTAATAAATTCTTTCGTAACAAATTTTTTATAAACCATTTAATAAATTCATACGTAAGTTTTATGAAAAAAAATCCCATGAAATACAACCAGCAAAAATTTCAACCTCGTCGGTAAACAAATTGAATGAATTTTTTTTTTGTTGCATTTAATAAGTTATTTCTTAGATTATTCAATGAATTATATCAAAAAGTATGTTTTTCATATTCCATTATAAACTAAATAATTCTCCATCTCCAGTATAAAATATAAAACTAACTCTATAAAACTCACAAAAAAGGAATTAACATTGATAGATGTCTGTAATAACAGCTCTTTTCTTTAAAACCAGATTGATGCATTAACATAATACACCCAACAATTTTTTTTTAACGAAAAACTTGTTGTGCAAACTTCAATTATCTCACAACATAAGGAGTATCTTATTAAAGCATCATAATTAAAAAAAAAAAACATTTAATAAGAACCACACAATGACTAGATATACGACTTTTTTTTTTTTTTGTAAATAAACTGTTATAATTTTAAATGCGTTTATATCCCTTTTAATCTTTCTAAGAAAACTAAAAGCTTAGTTTTAAAAGGTTAGTTTTATTAGTGCATAAGGTACAAGTGAAGCAGATTAGGAAGATCTGCAAACTACTACTACTACTACTACTACTACTACTACTACTACTACTACTACTACTACTACTACTACTACGACTAAGTTTGAAAATTTGTCTTTTTACCTTTTGTCTGGAGAAAATCGGAATTTAAATGCAAAAAAAAAAAAATACACAAATAAAAAAACTATAAATTTCATTTATTTAAAAACCATTTTTTTCAAATCAAAACTTTTCATTATTTTGAATTTTTATATATATCTTAATACATAATGTAAAATGTTTTTTTTTTCAATATAAAAAGTATTAAAAAATAGTGATTAAAAAAAGTGACATGCAACACGAAAAACTTTTCTAATAGCAAAAAAATATTATTTATAACAAAGTATCGAGTTTCCAATAACTATATTCCAACCAATATAACTTAATGCGTCGAAGTTAATTGCTATTTTACAATTGATTCCAGAGCTTTTTCTATGACATCCGTATTGCTAATAGAATGCGATTTAGTCACTATGAGTGCCTCATTTTCATTCATAGATCTAGTTATTGCTTCTTGGGCATACGGGTGTCCACACCAAGCTCTTCGAGCAACCTAAATTAAGTTAAAATCTAACTAATTTTTTAGGGTCGCATAAATAATGTCAGACAGCCTAATACCTAAATAACATCAAAAATACACATAGAGGACAAGGGAATAGGGAGTAGAGGACAAGGGAATAGGGAGTATAGGACAAGGAAGTAGAAGATCACAGTTTTCTCTCCTCAAAATGATTAAGTAATATTTTAATTTATTTTTTCTGAGACAACTTCAAAATAATGATAAATGGGAGAAAAAAGGTTTGTTGTTACGCTTCACAAAAAAAGATGTTTTAATTAACAATATATTTAAAATATTGAAAAGTTTTTAACGACATATTATTTTTAATTTGAATGATGCCTCTATGTACTAGATTATAGACATTAAATATATGAAAACGATTTTCTATTACCATTTGAAGTTCTATTTTGATGGTGAGTTAAAAACTAACAGTAAAAGTTTCTCTTAAGTAAACTTAAAAAGTATTTTAACTGATATTTTGCTGCATTAATACAACCCATTTACGATTAATACAACCAATGCACGATTGATACAACCGATACACGATTAGGCCTCAATCAGTATTGAGATGAGGGCTCGAAAACGACATTACTAATCTATTTTATGAAGAGTTTAAAGATTGAGCTCAAATAAAAACTCACTACATATCGCTTAAAGTTTTCATACAATTACAAGCCGTGATTGTATGGTAAATCTTATCATTGTTCTTTTTTCATAAACTAACTTAACTGTTGCTCCTACTTCACAAACGCCCAATTTATTTTTGTATTATTTTTTAATAGGCATTAATACAGCAGTTATATGAAAGTGAAAGATATATTATCTTTAAAGTAAAAGATAATAAAACTTATTAAAAAAATTTTCTTGACGCAATTATGATAAACATAAATTATGATATTATGATACTTGATGGGTACTTAAATGTAATGAGTACCAAGGAGTAAAATAATTTTGGAGGATAAAGAAAACTCCAGAGCACAATGAAAAAAGTGTGAGATTTAGAGAAAATATGAAGATTCTAGAGGATATTAAGAACTTTAGAGGTTATTTAAACAAATAAAATTTAGAGAGATTTTTAAACATATTAAACATAAAAAAAGCAAACATTTTGCACCCAAAATTATCGAGTTTCTTATTAATGCATCTAATCTAGTTTTATTTTGGTATTGGTGCAAGAAGAAACTCCAGACCAGTCTGTTTAAAAATAAAATGAGATTTACTCACCCCATTAGAAACATCCCAAGCTAACATTTTTTTTGCTCTCTCACCAGCCTCCTAAAATACAATATATAATGTTAACAAATGATTAGGCCTAGGGAGATAAAGGGAGTAAAGAAAAAAATAATAGATAAGGAGATAAGTTAAATATCCCTTATCTAAAGAGCGATTCAGTGTTTACATCGCAAACATAAATTAAAAATTTACTAGAGAACCGTCCAGCACAAGACCAAAACCACCATTAGTAACTTCACCCCAACCACAGCCTCCACCATTATGTAATGCTACCCACGTTGCACCACGAAATGAATCACCAATACAGTTTTGAACTGCCATATCTAAATTAAAGATTAAATAAAATAAGAAAACTGAAGCGAGGCTTTAAAAAAAAAATAACTAAAAAACAAAATTACAATTTCATTTTAAATGATACCTGCACAAAATGAAGATCCATCATAAATATTAGATGTTTCTCGAAATGGACTATCAGTACCACTAACATCGTGATGGTCCCGACTTATAACAATAGGGCCCTGTGAAAAAACATATACAAAAAAAGTTATATATATACAGTTGTGAGCATGAAAATACCAGTACTAAAACTTTATTTGTACTTTCATTATTACTCTTCTGTATAATATAAAAAGACTAATATTTATGTGTATTTACAATAATGAAATAAGTAAATTGAGCATATGAGAATTCAATACCTTCAAGAATACCGTTATTTTTAATAAAGTTATTGTAATTGAGAGATTGCAATAAATTAGCAGTGGTTGTATTGGTTTTAAAGTTAGTTTATAAAATTTAAAAATTTTTTTGTAATTTTTACAGTATAACTTTAATTATATTATATACTTTATTTATTTGTGTATGCTTAAAGGTAAAAAAATTTTCTAAACCTTACAAAGTGGGTCGAGGACACCAACAGAACGCAACATTATTTTGAAGCATCATAGAGAGGGTAAATCTTACTCATATAGACAAAATATTCTTGAATGTTCAGCAAAGATGATTTCAAATGCCTTAAATTATAAAGCAAAAGTTGAAAAATGAGGTGGAAAATATGACTACCGCACAAGAAGACCAAAGAATTGTAAGTAAATAGTAAACCATTTTTGTCGGCCAAGCAAGTCACAGATGATCTTGAATTACATGTGTGACACAACTGTTTGTAGGCAATTTATATGCATACAGTCCACAAAAGGTTTCTTTGTTGACAAAAAAACATACCAATAAACGTTCGCAAAGCAACTTCTAGATTGGCCCATCAAAAATTGGCGCAGCATATTATGGACCAATGAATCAAAAATTGTTCTTTATGGAGACAATTATTCAATACAATATGTAAAACGCCCAGCTAACACAGAACTTCAGAAAAAATATACCATTAAGTTTGTAAAATATGGTGGAGCCAAAGTCATGTACTCATATAATGGTGTCGGCCCTATTTATAAGATTAATGGTATCATGGACCAACATATATATGTTGACATACTCAAGAATATCATGCTGCCCTATGCTGTTAAAGACATGCCGCTAAAATGGGTCTTACAACAAGACAACGACCTGAAACACACTAGTCATAAGGCAAAGGAGTGGTTTCAGGTCAATGGGGTTGAGGTTATACAATGGCCTGCTCAGTCACCCGACCTAAACCCCATTGAAAACTTATAAGGAGATGTTAAAAAAGCAGTTTCTGCTGCTAATCCAACTAATGCTCAGCAGTTATGAATAGCTATTCAACAAGCATGGTATGCAATACCGGAAGAAAAACGTCTTGTTGACTCAATGTATCGGCGTTGCAAAGCCGTTATTCAACATAAAGGTTTTGCAACAAAATACTAATAAGAGTAAATATTACTATATTATACTTATTTTTAACCTTTTAATGTTAAAAAATTAACTTTTATAATGTAATATAAATAATATAATAGAATTTTTTTAGTAATTAGTAAAAAAAATTGCTCAATAATATTCAAAATATTCCAGGTACTGCTATTTTCATGCTCACAGCTGTACAAAGAAATAAAAATGGATACAATTAAAGAGAGATTTTTCTACCTTTATTCGACCTTCATTGATAGCATTATTCATAGCTACAGCTATTCCTGATCTTCCAAACTGATCAGAATAGAGTATGCGTGCTTGTGAACCAACAACCTTTAAAATTAATAAAATGATTACAAAGAAGTTGTAGTCCTATTTCTTAAAAAAACTTGTTACAACAAATAGACACAAACCAAATCATGATTTGCCGCTTCTTGTATCCATTTAATGTTATCATTTATCTGACCAAGCACATAATCTGGAACTAAAATAAATTTAATGTTATCATTTTTTTGACCTAACACATGCTCTAGAACTAAAATAAATTTAATGATATCGTTTCTCTGACAGAGCAAATATAAAATACTGTTATTGTGTAATGAACAATATCATTCATTCATTCATTCATTTGCACAAAATGTCTAGAGGATTGCTTTTCAAAAGTCATTCAAAAGCAGAAGGCTGACAACTTTTACATCATTTTTAAACTTTTTTTTAAAATTAGCAATATCACTATGTAAGAAGTTGTGCCAATGTGTTAATATTTACATTTTGTGCAATAAATATTTATTCTCATTAAACTCATAAAAATTTAAACAAACAAAACTTAATAGTCTATGTAAAAGTGCCTTATGAGGAACTTGTAAGGTATAATACTATAGAAAAAAATGTTGTTTAAAAATTTATTTAGTTTCTTAGATTTGTTTCTTAAGGAAACAGTGATATATATATATATATATGTATATATATATATATATATATATATATATATATATATATATATATATATATATATATATATATATATATATATATATATATATGTATATGTATATGTATATGTATATGTATATATATATATATATATATATATATATATATATATATATATATATATATATATATATATATATATATATATATATACATATATAAATATATATATATATATGTATATATATATATATATATATATATATATATATATATATATATATATAATATATATATATATATATATATATATATATATATATATATATATATATATATATATATATATATATATATATATATATAATATAATATAAAAATATTACGCATAAAATTGTGTAATAATTTTTATAATATGTAAAAATTATATATTTTATATATTAATAATAATGAATCATATGTCTCAATTTGAGCAAAATAAAAATATATAATGCACAATTAAATGTTCTACTAAAAAAAATATATATTTATATAAACACTTAAATGTGGAATAACTGATGTAATAATTCTTTTACTTTCTGCATTCTATTATGATAAGAAAATATTTTTTATAAGGAGAAAAAAGTTTTATAGCATTTTGTTTGTCAATTGTTTTATAAAATAAGTAAAGCTAATAATAAATGGATAGCTCCAGTGAAAACTCAAAGATAATACTTATCTAAAAAAAATTCAAGGCACAATTCACAACACTTGTTGGGAATACATTCTTCTAACATTAACTAATGATTATTAACAAATTTTGAATTTTATGGAGAAAATTAAAAAAATTATCAAAAAGTTTACTTTTCTGTTGGAGAAAAAAATTTTTTTATCAGAAAATAAATCTTACGAGACTGGTCTTTTGCAAACTCTTTAAGAACTTCTTCAGCTATCTTATCGGTTTCCTCAAGATCAGATGACAAGCCAGTTGTACAAACCCATCTAAAATATATGGAATCAATTTTATATCTTTATCTATTATATAATTAAATATAATAGTAAAAAAATAATTTTTTTTGTAGTGGCCGAAAAAGCCACCACAATCGAGAGCACTACTTTAATTGTGGTTATAACCCCCTCTTAACTCTACAACTCAAAAACATGAATTTTAATGAACAATGCCACTATGTGGATATACAAGTAAATATACAATTATATAATCATTATAATTAACATTATAAATAATTATGTAAATTATAATACAAAATTTACAAGAAGATAGATTTGAGCTTAAAACAACAAAAAGCTGGCATATTCTTCAACAAAAAGCTATAAACTTTTTTTAATTATAAAAACAAATTTTTTTTTTTAATGATAAAAACAAGTTTAAATTTTAAACTGTATAAAGTTCTGCATTTATTAATACAATGCAGAACTTTATAAAGTTTAAAATTTTTGGAAAAAGTAATTTTAATATATAAATAAACATATTTTCCCAATAGTTGGGCACTTCAATGATATTACACCCAATATTAGGAACAGGAGAATGTGGTTGGAAAAAATATTAACAGAATTTATAACTATTTATTAAAATTTTTATTTATAAACATACCTAAATGGACCAAAACCCATTGAAAATATGTCACTAAAAATAAGAAAAAAGTAAAAAATAATTTTTTAATTCAGTAAAACACTTCCCTCCTCCCTACAAAGTTTTTTAAACTCTTATGAATAATATATAAAAGACTATAAGTATTTGACAATATAAATAACTTTTAAATGCAACATCCAGTGCAATGTGGCATCTTAGACTTAATAGCATACTCTTTAATAGTAGAAGGAGCTATTATTGACCTGATACCATAGAGTATTTAATACTACTGTAAATACTATAGTTTCAAACCATTAAGTGCCTTGTAAAATGTCTGCATAGTAGACAACAATGTCACTATAGACTTATAGACTACGAAAACAATTCTTAAAAAACACAAATGAAATGTGGTGTCTAATGATAAATTATATAAAATGATAAATATTTACCCCATGATATCTTGTACATATGTTGGATACTTAAATATTCCAGCGGGAGCACCAGGTTTAGATACATCACCTCCTAAAACAAAAAGCATAGAAAAAAACAAGAAAAATTAAAAAAAAAAAAATACAAGAAAGCTTTAAACATTTAACAGATTTAGAAAACCAAAAAAGCACTTAAAAAATGGGACTTCAACACATACAAAAATGTCTATTCTATTCTATATACATATTTAACAGTATAATAAACTTTAAAAAAATTAACCTGCTCTTGAAGCTTCGAGAAGAAACGCATTACCATAATCCCAAAAGTACATCCCAGCATCACTTAGAATATTGACAGCGTTAACATGTCTGCGCAAGCTGCACATGTTTTTGAAATAAAAAAGTTTGTTGTAATTATCATTATTACAATAACAACAACAATAAAAAAAGAAATTTATTATTATATGCGCGTCTATTCATTTTTATATGCGTGGTTATTCATTCTTATATGTGCATTTAATCATTCTTATATGAGCATTTATTCATTCTTAAAACTTTTTAAAACGCATATAAGAATGAATAAACACGCATATAGGAATGAATAAATACGCATATAAGAATGAATAAATGCGCATATTAGAATGAACAAATGCGCATATAAGAATGAATATATATACATATAAAAATGAATAGACGCACATATAAGAATGAATAACCCTGTAACTTAGGATATTAAAAAACTTTTTACCTTTCTTGAACAAGTTTTCTAAAATTTTCTGGATCACTATGCATCATTTTATTGGACTCTTCAAAAGTGAGCTATACAATTACATAAAAAAATAAATAAAATAAATCTGTGGAAACAATGTTTTACTACTAAATTTAAATTTTAATACATTATTTATTAATTCATACAACAAATGTTACAATTTTCTAATGTATTTTTCAGTAAACAGTGTTTTTTCAAATAATATTTAGATTACCCTACAGAAGCATGACTTTATAAACTCTTTTATTAAAATCAATGGAAAAATAAATCTTGGTATAAACAGCTACATGAATTTGAAATTTAAAATAAAACTTTTTACAATTTTACATTTGTTATCAGTCATATACTTTTTAACATTTAATATAAAAAATTTCTATACATTTTTTGATCAACAACATATTAAAATGTTAAATAAATGTTATAATGTTAAATCGAAAATAAATATTTACCACTTTTTCACAACAAATAATTTTACTATTTAAACAAATTTATTTTTTAAACAAAATGTATACAAAGTTGAACAATTTGTAGTTTTTAATTTGAATAATTAACAAAAAAAAAGTACTTTTAAATAAATGTTTGACCTGAACTGGATAGTAACCACCATTAAACGGATTATGCAAGGAAGTTTGATCAGATCCTAAATCCACCAAACGATTGCCTGTTTTTTTATACACATCTACCAAGTGTTCCCTGTAACAATAATAACATAATAACAACAATAATAACAACAATAATAACACAGTTCAATAAAAATAAAGTTTATACACAAGCTTTCCAATTTGAAATTTTTTCTCTTAATTAAAAATAAGTTTAGTTGAAGAACTAAGAAATGGAAATTTAATTACTAAAATTTGTAAAAATAACTATTATTAATTAAATAATTTAATAAATAGTCTATTACTAATGAATAATAAAATATTTATAAATAATTAATCATTTATAATAACATATAATAATTTTTTATAATAACATATATAATTATTAAACTATTTTTAATATTTAATTATTTTACTACTATAAACATTGAAAACATTAAAAAAAAAATAATAAAAATAAAAATCTTTTAAATCTGTTAAAAAAATAATAATAAATAAAGATTTATTAAAAATACAAGATTTGCTTAAAGGGATTCCAAGCCTCTGAGACATGTTGTGCTCTGAGACATGTTGTGATATTATAGAGAATGATTAAAAAAAAAATGTTTGGGCTAAATTTTTTTGATTAAAACAAAAGAATAAATGCAAACAAAGAAAAATTAACTTATTTGTTTATTCAAATGCTTTTTTATCATTCTCTTAAGAATAAAATATTCAATTAAGTACATAAAATTCATTTTGAAAGGCAAAATTTCTTACCACACTTCAACAATGTTTCCAAGGTAACCAATACTCACAGAGCGCTTACTATCCTTGGCAATTCTAATAAAAGAATAATAAAAAACATACATAAATTAATTAAACAGTTACAGGTAAAACATTTTTGTATATATCAAAATTTTTCACTGAAAATAAAAAATTGAAAAAAAAAATATTACATCACTTTATTAACTAGGTCTTCAAGCGAATCAGCAATCTCTAACAACCACCTGATATAAAATTCTCAAAATTAAATTATTGCAATTTGAAAAATCAAAATAATTTTACCATCTAAACCTTTAAAAGATTTTATTTGAATAATTATCATTTATCTACACTAGGCTGGGTAAACTACACTAGGCTGGGGCAACACTAATATGGAAGAAGTAGTTGTTATTTATTTTCTTCATTTCCCCACTCTCAGAATTACATCTCAAAAATATAAATTTCAAGAAGCAAAATTGCAATAATATCAGAGACATGTTTGTTGGCAATATATGTTAATATATATAAATGTAATATATGTTAATATGAATATATATATATATATATATATATATATATATATATATATATATATATATATATATATATATATATATATATATATATATATATATAAATGTTGGCAACATACACTTTTCAATAAAAAGAGTCGCAACCTTAACAAATTCTTATTCCTTATTATTACTGTTATTATTACTTATTCCTATTTTTCAAAACTAGATAAAAGGTTCTTTTTTTTTTCTTCATGTTAAATAATCTCTTCAAGGCAAAGATGGCCACTATATATCAAAATTATACTACAGTCGAAGAAGCTACTTTAATTATGGTTACAACTCTCTAATTATGCTTTTATAATTTTTTTAGCGCTGGCTGTAACTCAAAAATAATTTTTTTTTTCTATTGAATGTAAAATTTGGGTTTCTATTGCATTCTAGTTTAAAACAAAAATTTGTACAAGACAATCATAAGCGCTGACATTTTATCTTTCAAAAAGTGTAAAAATTTTGAAAATCTTTAGTAATTTTTTTTCTGTCCATAATTTTTGTGTAATTGCCCATAAAATTCTTTAAAAATAAAAACATAAAGGTATGCTAATTAAGATAATAAAAATGAATATAAAATTACCCCTGGTTGTATCGCTTCAGTAATGCATCTTTGGAGACCTTAAAAATAAATTTTTTAATTAAAATATATTAATCTACAAATAAACTACATGATTTATAAATTGTTAATGCATTTAAGATATTTTTAATAATAATTTACATACATATTAATATCTATTTATTAACACAATTAATTTTAACAATGCAATGTTGCAAATTGATGGTGTCCCTGTAAGTGATTTTGGTGTGCATTCTAGAGGCCACAATAGGTACACTTTATTACGATTTTAGTTTAAGTAGTAAGATTGAAGCAACTGCATAGCTCATTGCTTGGGGTGTTATGCACTTTGCATGAATGAATCAAGTTTTCAAATGATTTGCACAATTGAGCCAAAATCTCAAACAATTTGTATGATTGAGTCAAGTTCTCAAATAACTTAAAAAACAATTAGAGTATCTAAAAATATTTTAAAAAACCATCACCATTAGGGTGCATTGAAATATTAGATGAAAAATAAATCACCAAAATTTATATATATAAAGCAATATAAAGTTGCTTTTTGGTTTAAAATCATCAAATTTGGTTTAAAATCATCAAGCTCTTTATCAGGTGCTCCATGGGGGTAAAAAAGGGCCAAAATATCCTTATTTTTTTTTTTTTTCTGCGTAGTTTTACAATTTTTTTACTTTTTTTTTTTAACTTTAAGTAATGCTAATTTTTAATTGTAAAAAAAATTTAAAGGACCTTTTAAGTCATTTTAAACCCCCTTCTCTTGAAGACTATAATTTTTTTTGGGAACTCAATTATTTTAAACATAAATAATAATTTAAACTAAATTAGTATAAAGTTGTAATGTAGTTTTAAAATTTTACCTTTCAAAATAAAAAAAAATTTAACTAAACTTGATTTTCAGAGTTCCCAAAAGCGTTAAAAGGGGGCCAAATATTAATTTTATTTTTTTAATTTTTTTTTAACAATTAGCTTTGGAAATACTTAATTTAAAAAAAGTCTCAAAAATTTGAGAAAAAAAAATTTATAACTTTTTGGCTCCCTTTCCCTCAGCTATAGTCTTTAAGACTAGAATTTTTTAATTTTTTTTTTTTTTTTTTGAATTTGATAATTTTTTGATAAGCAAAAGGTAACTTTTTATTGTTATTACATTTAAAGAATCCAAATTTTATTTTTTCAATGCTCCCTAATCACCATCATTGTCCATCAATTCAACTAATTGCTTCAATCTACCTTTACACATATTTATGTTTTCAAAGTAACTTTTTATCAGTTGAATCTTATTTCCAGTTAAGTTCACCAAAAAGAGTAAAGCAATGTTTAAAAAAGTAAAAAAAAACAAAAGAAAAAAAAAAAGAAAAAAATAAAAAAGGGAAAAAAATTATATAGATATAACTATATATAATACATACAAATTTAAAAAATATATATACCTCAGCCACAACGGTAACACAACCAGTTATTACTCCAGCTTTGGCTTGAGCTCCGCTCATACCACCTAAACCAGATGTTACAAACACCTATATAAGAAAAAAATTTATATATATACATTTATATGTATATAGTTTATACATTAAATTTATTATCAAATACTAATAAATTTATATTTATTTTATTATATCTAGTTTAAAAAAATAAATGTAATTCTTTTTAATAAATTTAATTCAAGTTACTTTAAGATGTTCCTTTTACATTCAACTAATTTGTTTATTTATTTATATTTTTAAATCAATAATTATTTCTCTATCTACATCTCATTACTAAAGTGCTAATATACAAAAGTGCTTAATCCAACTATAACTGTTTATAAATGCATTGCTGGATAAGCCATAATCAAGCCTTCAGGCAAAATCATTAGATTTATTAAAAATATTTTAGAGAGTTTTTTTAGTAAACTTAAGAAAACAAATTAATGAAAAGATGATTTCTTTTTAGTTATAAAATTGCTTTTTAATAAAAATTTTTTATTTATCATTCATTTTTTAGATTGATCATAGAATAAACGTTTATTAGAAATGATTTGAACTAGTTTATGAGTAGTATGCCAAGATTTTTTGTTAAAGCCATAATTAGCTTATGGTGTAATTTCTTAACAGTCAAAAATAAATAAATAAATAAATATATATATATATATATATATATATATATATATATATATATATATATATATATATATATAAATATTTATTTTTGACTTAACAGTCAAAAATATATATATTTATTTATTTTTGACTGTTAAGAAATTACACCATAAGCTAATCCCCATCCATTTAAAAAAACAATCAATTGTGAGAAATCTCCCTTCATTTAAAAAAACCATTAATTGATTCCAAATTATAATAGAACTTTGATTAAATACTAGTAAGTACTAATAATACAAATAAATTTTTGATTTTATCTTAATTTTTGAAGATATTTTGATATGTTTTACACTGTCAGGTTGCTATTGGAAAAATTTTATTGGTACAAAAAACAATATTAATAACTTTGCTAAAGGTAAAATAAGTGCACTATCTTCAGAGAGATATATTCAAAGAGGTATATCAGAACAATTAAAAATATCGAGGTGTTCTGTGCAAAATGCTTTATGTGTGATGCATATTGCCGGTTGAGTACATCACAAGATTTTTAAAGAATATTGTTAATAATGAGCTCCACACAACATCAGCAAGATTATCACAATTTGCTATGGAAAAGAGTTGTTAGGATAACTATTGGTTCATGAAAATTTAGTAAAAGATTGTGTTATGACTTTGGTTTAGATGCAAACAATACCTATAATTTGTCCAAATTTCTAAAAAGAATTTTAAAACAAAATATTTACATCAGCTCTCAATTTGAATAATATACTGTGTGATGATAAAACAAAACCTCCTAACAAAAACCTAAGTGTTTACCATTTTAGATACTCATGTGATAGTATATATTGACCATATTGAAAAAAAAAATTGTTTTAAGAAGTGTTAATGCATAATGAACAAGTGTAGGAGCTACCAAACAATAAAAAAATGCACTTTTGACTGGCTGCATCCAAAAAACTTAGCAGTTATTTCAAAACAAAATTTTTAGCAAAAATTTAACTTGGCAAAAACATTATCATTTGATTGATTTTATATTTTATGCTTTTTGATGTCTTCTTTTTTAACAATTTATTTTATGTTATTTTTAATTGTCTTTTTCCTGATAACGCTGATCACAACAAATCAGCAAAATATATAAAATATAAAACTGAACCTTACTGTATTAATAAGCTTGACCACAGCCTTTTTTTATTAAATTTAAATATGACTCCAAGGGTTGAATTAAGCGATTGCAAAATAAAAAATCTGGAAAAATATCTGGCCTTCAAAACTTTAGTTAATGCAAAACCATGTGTTTTTTTTTTTAAGGAAAAAAGCAAATCAACTTAAATTTGTTAGAGAAAATGTTATAAAAAATAAAACAATAAACTTACGACTACAAAAGTAATAATACTCTAGTAACTAACTGCATAATAAAAGTAATAACACTATAATAGTGTTATTACTTTTATAACACACTTTTAACTTTTATAATTCATTTTTTGTTCAGACAACATAAGTAATTCCAAATTTTAATTGAAGTAGAAAAGCATCTAGAAAAATAGAATGGATATTCAAGTAATATTAAAAACTTATTAAGAAACTTCATAAAAACGTACTGAATAAAAAATTTAACATTATGAAAAACGTTACAAATGGTCTGTAAAAACGCGCGTTAATTTTAAAATCAACCAATAAAAAGTTTTTATTGGTTGATTTTAAAATTAACGCAGACTATTAGTATAATTTTTCATAATGCTCAACTTTTTGTAAAGAACGTTTTATAAAGTTGTTAAAGTTTGATTAAAGTTTAGAATTATTAATTTTGTTTGAACAAAGAATGAACTTTAAATGTTATAAGTGCTTTATAAAAGTAATAACACTATTATAGTTTTATTATTTTTATAATGCAGTCAGTGACTGAGATTCATTTTGTAGACGTAAGTTTATTGTTTTGTTTTTTATAACTTTTTCGCTACAAACTTATAATAATTTGCTCCTTGAAAACGACTTTGCATTAACTAAAATTTTCCAGATATTTTTCTGAAACTTTCATTTTGCGATCGCTTAATTTAACCCTTGGACTCAAAAATTGTGAATATATTATTTTATTAGTGGTTTTTGAATATATTAATTATAGTTTTTTATTATTAATTATACAAAAGTATTATTTTTCTGGAACCCTTACTTTCCTTAAATAAAAAAATAGTAGGGGAACAAGTTGTATGGAAATAAAACATTGAGACTTATTTTATTATATACAAATAGAACATCTCTAAGTTTTACTTCCATACAACTTGTTTCCCCCTCTGTACTATTTTTATATTTAAGGAAAGTAGGACCAGTTGTAATAAAACAAGAAAAATAATACTTTGGTATAATTAACTGATATAAATATAGAAAAGCATTCCACAATAAAAAATTATAAAAAACAGAACGCCAGGAACACACCAGTAAAATTTTTTACAATTGCTTAATGTTTCTTCCGATTGCTTTAATGTCTAATTGCAATTCCTTTAAAATAATTTACTTGCTGAGCTAAAAGTCTCAAGTCCACTTGGATAAAACTCTTTACTAATAAACCTTTTAATAAAATAATGTTTACCTTTCCAGAAAGATCATCAGTCTTCAGATATTTTCGCCCAGCATTAAGAATAGTCAACTATAACAAAATAAAAACAGTAAAAATGTTACATGTATCCAATAACGTTTTTAAAAACCTTATTTTGTATTTGTTATTTATGTTATTTATTTGAGATTTATTTACAATGAGAATTATTTCTGAACTGTTGAAGTGTCTCAAAGTTATCAGATCTATAAAAAAATGACCTGTTGTGTGTTTGCTGTGTGTTTTCATGAACAAATAATTTAGGTTCTGAAATCTATAACAGAAATCTTTTAGTGATAAATTAAAATTTCATTGTTATTTCAATATTTAACATTAAAAATACTTAAAAAAAAAGTTTTTGTTTTCTAAAATGATTTGGGGCTTAATGATAAGACTAAATTTGTCTTCTTCTAGCCTCGGTCATGTAATTTTTTTTTTTTATAAGTTACGACTGTAAATTTTTTTTATCGGCAAAAGTGTAAATAAATAATCATAGAATGATTTTTTTGTGAACCACTGCACCACAGGTGTTTGTGGCACAGTTGTTAGAATATGTTTAACATTTTATAAAATATATTTTAACTACTGCACAGTAATCAGGAATAACTTAAAATTATTATTTTTTTTTTTTAATATTTGTTCAAAATTGCCGAAAATTTGCTCAATGATGTAAAAAAAAAAGTAGACAAGGAAAGAAGGCTATAAATCTTTAAAAAAGGGTCAAATATGGTGAGGGATAGGATGGCAATTTTTTTTTGTAAAAAAATATTTTTTTAAATATATATATATATATATATATATATATATATATATATATATATATATATATATATATATATATATATATATATATATATATATTAGGGTGCTCTAGAAATGTATAGTGAATATTTTTTTTTTTTAAATCTTGCTCCTTGTTGATTTTCCCATTCCTTTATCTATTTTAGAATAAGTAAACAAATTTCAAGCAATTTAATAGTGTTCAAGACTTGCCACCAGCTCCCAAAAAATTAATAGTTTGAAATTTTTTTTACGTAAATTTACGAAGTTATGTTTATGTACGATACGTAAATTTGACACAAATTTTTGGCAATTATTACATAAATGATACAAAATAATTATAATATGAATATAATTTAAATTAATAAAGAAATAATTTATAAATAAAGCATATAAATAATAATTTTTAATTGATAATTAAATAATATTTTAATAAGTATATTATCCTTTAATTACTATTTTTAAAATATCTTTCTTAAAATCTCTTTTATTCTATCATTTATTTTTATTTTAAGGTAAATTATCAAAGATTAACAAAGATATTAGATGAAACTAAATTTTAAGTATTGCACTTTTTTACTTGGACGCTACTTATCGCTTTAACCCAATTATGGATAGAACGGTTTTAAGAAGACATTGATATCTGGTTATTAGGAAAACCATTAACTCAAATGTTACTATCAAGAATTCTATCAAAGGGAGATGTCCTGCATTTCTTTTTCTTTATAAAAGATGGACCCATGAAACATGCTAAACATGTCAACTGTAATGGTGCTATAGTAAACACCGTTATTGCAGAAATTCAAAATCAATGAGATAAAGCTGGAATTGCAGTTCAACGCAAAAACAAGGTTAAAGTAAAAATTTTGGATTTGTATGATGCTTATAGAACACTTCAAAAGAAGAAAGGATGTCAATCTAATGAAGCTAAAGAAAAACTGTTTGTTGATGATCTGAAAAATTATTTTTATATTGCTCACCAAGATGCTCAAAACAAAATAGAAACTGATCAACTTCATGATAGTGAGCAGAAAAAAGAAGACATTAAATTTCTTATGACAGTTAGAGATCAGAAGCAAGTTATTTTGGGATCAGAAGACCGAGCATACAAAAGGAAAATTACACAGAAAATACAGAGAGAGAGAATTGAAATGACAAGAAGAATGTTTTTTTAATGCTGTAGTGGTGTAGTGGTAGAGCGCTCGCTTCATAAACGAGCGCTCTACCTTCTTAAAAAAAAGAATGGTTGAAGAAAAAAGAAGACAAAATCTTTCAGCAACAACAAGCACAAAACCTGAAACTATATGTCCTGAACTTGCAATCTGCAGATAACTCTAGTGTCACAGTTACAAGCAGTTCAGACAATTCTGAAGATGAAGATTTTGAAAATCCACATAAATCTGCTATGAAACCAAAAAATATCCAACCTGATAAAGACAGAGTAATTACACTGGCTCTTCCACGCAATCCATTCAAAAATGAAAAAATTTCAGCAATGACAGATCGTTTAAATTTATCAGCTGGTAAAAGAACAGCTTTCATAGCAGCTATAATTTCAGAGGGTGGTGCTCATTTGCAGTGTGTGACTTTATCAAAAACAAGCAGAATAGCGGCTAAAAAACTTTGAATAAAATATGGGGATGAAATTGAAACTACATTTGTTTCCTTAAAGTTACAAATTATGTTACATTATATTGGGATGGAAAAATTGTTCCAGAGGATGCCGAACGGCTAGGTGTTCTTATAGCTGGGATTCCAAACTGTAAAGAAGGTAAGCTACTTAGGGTTCCAGTAATCTCTGATGGAACTGGTGTTACTATAGCTAACACCAACCATTATCTTGTGGTTCGGTGGAAGGTAGAACAGTCAATTGTTGGACTAGTTTTTGATACCACAGCACCAAATTCTGGGTGAAAAAATGATGCATGCGTACAGTTGGAATCATTGCTAGACAAGAAGCTTTTCTATTTTGCTTGTCGACATCATGTAATTGAAAGAATTTTATGTTCTGCCTGGCAAAAGATTTTGGTCCGACATCCAGTCCTGACACTTCTGAGTTCAAAGAATTTAAGAAATCTTGGGAAACCATTGAAGATCGATCAAAATTTAAAATTTTACATATCACTGATTGTTGTCTTAAACAGCAGAAAGACAATGTTGTTAATTTTTTGCGACAAATGTTGACTTCAGCTGACGGCGACAGCTTGCCACGTGATGATTATAGAGAATGTGCAGAACTCATGTTAATACTTTTGGGAGAACTGTCTCCCTGTGGGGTGCACTGGATAGAACCTGGCGCAAACCATCATGCCCTCTGGATGGCAACTGTTATATATAGTGCTAAAATGTATGCCTTGGTGACCAGCTGAATTATGATCAAGATAAAAAGGAGAAACTGCATTTTATTTGCATATTTAATGCACTCTTTTACGTAAAAGCGTGGCTAGCCACCCCTTTTGCAACCGATGCACCATCAAATGATCTCCAGTTATACCATGATCTTCACATTTTAAAGAAAACTGACCCAGAGGTTGGTGAAGCGACCATTCTTGCACTGAACAGGCATCTGTGGTATCTGACCAAAGAAACTGCTACTTTTTCTCTTTTTTCAAATTTGGTGCCAGAATTAGAAAAGAAACAAAAAACCAGACAACTTATCAAAGTAAAGAAAGACATGCCACTGGATAAAGGAGCACCAGTTTTTTCACAGTTGATTTCATCCACAAAATTAGTACATTTGAATGGCAAGAAATCTTGGCTCCTGTTCAACCTACTCAAAATTGAAACTGCCTGGTTACACTTGCCGCCAGCACAGTGGGAAACACGTAGTGATTTTCAAGAAGCAGCAATATTTATTCGTCATGCAAAAGTTGTTAATGATCTTGCTGAAAGAGCCAAGAAACTCATCACAGACTTTGCAAATACTTTAACTAAAGATGAAATACAGAAACAATATTTGTTACAGGTTATTGAAAAACACAGACACAAAGTACCAGATTTTAAAAAAGGAACCCTGAGAAACATTTAAAAACTGTTTTTTTCTTAGAGACATCAGTACTAATTTAGCATATTTAAATCTTATAAAATAACCTTACTGAACTTTTTTTATTATTTTATCAACAGTTTTTTATTATTATATCAACAGTTTTTCTAAATTTTGAAAAAAGTTTTTGTTATATTTTCAATCTTACAGTTTTTTCGTAGTATTTTCAAAATAATAAAAATTAGCTAATAACATTATTTAAAATGCGTTACTCAAAAAACTGTATTTTGGCCACGTTTTAAGTGTTTCTAAATCACTGTACACTGTTATGATGGTATTAAAATAAGCCATATGCAACCTTTGACAAAATGCCTTAATCTATATGCTAGCGAATGCCCAAATACTGCAACAATGGCAGAAATCGTTCACAAATATATATACAATAATTGCCAAGTAAAATAACACAGAAATGATTATATCAAAAATGAACTGGATTTCAATCTAAATAAATTCTTTCTTTATTCCAGTTTCAAAGCATTTTTGAAAATATTCAAACAGCTTATAAATGACTTGTGAGCATATGTAGAGTACAATTGTATATTTACTTTAAAATGTTCAATTGACACACTTTATATATTGCTTTTTTAAATTTATTTATGATTAAATTAAGTTAAAACAACAACTTACAGTGGTACCATGAACTATTCCTTGAGGACCAATATAGCAGTAACTGCCTGCAGTCATTTGCCCATACATTGTAACTCCTAATGCAAACATCCTTTCAAAATCAGTTTTTGATGAATAATTTGGAATAACCTTTGAAAATAAGAATACAACAACTTTATATCCATTTATGTAATAATTTATGTTAATTTATGATAATTTTTTACTTTTTATGAACATTTTATGAATGATACTTTTGTTATAAATATTTATAATTTACTTTTACTTTTTGTATAAAATACTTTTTATATAAATATTTACTTTTTTATATAAATATTAACTTTTTTTTACATATATTTACTTTTTATACATTTTATAACCCTGAAACAGTTAAAATATTAGTTTTCAATTATTATTTAAATTATTGTTATTATTATTGTAATTAACATTGTTATTATCACTCCCATCAAGGTAAATCATTTAAGAAAATACTTAATTACAATATCTACATGCAAGAAACCACTAATTAAACTGGAAGTTAACTTTTAGACTTTGCTCAATTTTTTTAGGTTTGACCACTCCGCGCACAGTATTTTTAGTTAAAGTTGTAGGTATATTACAAACGAGAATTTGTTATGATTTTGTTATGCCTGAATCTTGAATCTTGAAGTAAAGATTTTCTGAGAGTATATTCACAAAGCTTATATAGATTGAAACCATATCAACATAAAATTTATCATCATAAAATTTATATCATAAAATTTATACAGCGTAGGTCTATAACACATTTTTTTAAAAAAAAAAGTATTTCATATAGCCCTTCTTTTCAGTAAACAGATATTTTTTGAAAAAAAAACTGGCTAAAACATAGGGGAAGTGGGGCATAACCACCCCCGTAACGTTTGCATTAATGTTATACGAAAATAAAAACGAAATGTGTTTTTTTAGCAGTCTATTTCAATAACCATATCATTAAGCTTTAAATTGATGTACTTAAGAAAAAAATTGAACGGGTTTTGAAAATGTTACAACAAAAAAATTACACTTGGTGAAAAAAAAGGTTTTGCCCCCATTGTAAGGCACAACCGCACCCTCACAAAAATTGTTGGGGGTACACTGTTCTAGGTACATTTTCTTTACAATTGTCATAGCTCAGATTATTTGCTGATTGTGTTGGCAATACTGTGTTGGCATTCTTTGTACTTACAGTCTCAGTTTTCTCATTCGATATACTCTTAACTTTATTTTTATTCAAAAACTCATTTATAAAAATTAAATAAAAAAATACGAAATCTAATTTCTAACATCTCAAAACAAAACTTTTCTAACATCTTTTCTAATAAAAAACAAAACTTTTCTAACAAAGCTTTTCTAACAAATAAAAAAAACTTTTCTAACATCTTTTTTTTCAAAACAAAACTTTTCTAACATCTTTTCTAACAAAAAAAAAAAACTTTTTTAACAAAGCTTTTCTAACAAACAAAAAAAAAAAAAAAAAAAAAAACTTTTTTAATATCCTTTTTTCAAAACAAAACTTTTTTAACATCTTTAACAACTTTTCGATCATCTCAAAGCAAAACTATTCAAGTTTTTACATGAATGCATTCAAATGTGACAATTGTAATTATTGTTATTTATAATTACTTAACTTTGATAAATATTAAAAGTATGCGATTGTGCCTCCTGGGCGTCTATGCGGTTCTGCCCCAGAAGACAGTTTTTTGAAAGAATACCGTTTCATATCTTGCTTATTAGATTATGTTGATATCAAAAACGATTTTCACTTGATGAAAAAATGCTGATAAAACATACCTTTAACACTAAAATCAAATATTGCTTTATCCTCAAAAAAAAAGGTCTTTAAAAATATGATGTAAATATAATATTTTTATCAAAATATACATTATTATGTACAACTTCTCAGAAACATAAAAGGCACTCTTTTTGACATAAGCAAAATAAAGGAAACTGTTTTACTAATGCGTGGTATTTTTTTTTTCCATATTAGATAATATTTTTTAAAAAGAAATGTTAAAAAACGGTTGTGCTTCCATAGGCTGTTATGCCCCCACTTCGCCTATATGTAGGTAATAAAATTAAATTTTTTTAACATACCATAAGCATATTTAAATAAAATAATTAAAATATATACTAATAGAACTTTTAATTTTTTCTCATTTTGAAAAAATTGTAGTCATAATTTTGACACAACTATTTAATATTTTAAGAAACTAATCGAATATCTTGTTGCTTTGAAAATATTTTAAGAAACTAATCGAATATCTTGTTGCTTTTAAAATATTTTAAGAAACTAATCGAATATCTTGTTGCTTTGAAAATATTTTAAGAAACTAATCAAATATCTTGTTGCTTTGAAAATATTTAAGAAAATAATCGAATATCTTGTTGCTTTTAAAATATTTTAAGAAACTAATCGAATATCTTGTTGCTTTAAAAATATTTTAAGAAACTAATCGAATATCTTGTTGCTTTTAAGAAACTAATCAATTATCTTGTTGCTTTCCAAAATTTTAAGACACTGCTTGAATATCTTGTTGCTTTGAAAATATTTTAAGAAACTAATCGAATATCTTGTTGCTTTGAAATTATTTTAAGAAACTAATTATCTTGTTGCTTTGAAAATATTTTAAGAAACTAATCAAATATCTTGTTGCTTTGAAAATATTTAAGAAACTAATCGAATATCTTGTTGCTTTGAAAATATTTTAAAAAACTAATCGAATATCTTGTTGCTTTGAAATTATTTTAAGAAACTAATTATCTTGTTGCTTTGAAAATATTTTAAGAAACTAATCAAATATCTTGTTGCTTTGAAAATATATTGACAATAAGAACATGAAAATAAATTTCTATAAAGTACTAATGTTGTACCTTAATTAAATATAACTTTATTACATGTTGCTTTGCAAATTTTATATATAGTTATTTATTAACAATACCTATAAAACAAGGTTCCTACGAAGTTTATATAAAATTTTAGATTTCAAATCATAAGCTAAACTAACTTTCCAAGGTTAGAAAAATGGACTAAAATATATACAATCATGAAAATTCATGGTTATCATTAAGAATTAATCTAATTAAAATGAAAATTCATGGTTATCATTAAGAATTAATCTAATTAACATGAAAATTCATGGTTATCATTAAGAATTAATCTAATTAACATGAAAATTCATGGTTATCATTAAGAACTAATCTAATTAACATGAAAATTCATGGTTATCATTAAGAACCATTATTCTTACTCTTTTTGAGCTCATGAAATGTTTTTAATAAATGAATGTTTTTAATTTGTGTGTCAATCAGCAACCTCAGAAAATCATAGTTTATCCAAATTTTTTAAAATGAAAATATAAGCTAAGTTTATAATAAAACTATGTGATGTTGATTTTTTTTCTGGACTGCTGTAGACCATTGATTTAAAATTGAAAATCAGAAATGCAATGCAACCTTAATCTTTTGAGTAAAATATGTAGGCATATTTAAAAACATCAAAAGGCCTAATTTAATCTACCTAGCACGTCAAAAGACGTACTTTAAAATGAAGACGTACTTTAAAATGAAAACACAAGCAAAAAAATAGTTGCCAAAAGCCTTAAAAATTGTACGAGTTTCCATGAGGAAAGTATGAAGAAAAGAGGGCATTAAAAAAGAGGAAAATACTAGATGAATAAACTTTTTTGAGCATGAAAGAACAGTTATAGCTGGGATTTAACTTGGCTGAATGACGAGCCATGAAAGATTGAGTTTTGGGTAGATTATCTAAAACAATTAATGATAGCTCCCTAGAGCAGCGACCCTCAGCTTAACCCTCAGAATTAGGTCTTTGATTACCTCATGTTGAGCCATCAGAATCCGCATTGCCCAATAACAACCTAAAAGTGTTTAAGATCAGCAAAAAATTACTGACCTTGTTTTTATGCTTTATGGTAAACCTTTATGTGTAAACTTCTTATAGCTGACCTGATGCCTACTTCTAACAGTTTAAAAATCCGCAATTTATTGACAACCTCATTTAAAAAAATACCAAGGCCATATAAGGAGCCCTAAGCTACAACTTTGGATTAATTAACAGAACTGAGACAACTGTATATGTGTGGTCATGCTCTATCTATGAATGAGAAATCTCTTTAAATTTAAATTATGCCAAAAGTAACCCAAAATATTGAACTTAAAAACCATTTCCACTACAAAACTATTTTAATATATCTTTTACAAATATTTATGGTTTGTAAAGCTTACATCAGTTAATTCTTATCTTTTTAAAAAGTCACAACACTTGCTTGCTATTTGAGACTAATTTAAATTCCATAGTTTCTTCTTCAGATCTCAGTGTTGATGGAAACTAACCTTTGATTCACAAAGATTTTAACAGTCACATGCTTGGCTTGATAATATTCATACACATAAATTCACCTATTTGTCATGAAATCAGATTTGAATCCAATGACCGTTTTTTTACTCACTTTCTAAACTTTCGTTTTTTTATCCACTTTCTCTCAACTCTTTATCATTTTCCTTCTTCTCAAGGCTGCAGTCTTTTAGATGTAATTTCTGATCAAAATGGCCATGTCCATTCTCTTTACTTCTCTGGCAATACTGTTGTTATTGCTAACTTTAATGCTCACACTGAATATCATGGATCTAACGCCACTGACCCTGCTGACACTAAAGCCTAAAACTTTTGCATTTCTCAGTTGCTTACTCAGATAGTTAACTATGCGACTTGTTTTTCTGACAACCCTTATCACTGACCTTCACTCTTTAAGGTGGTACTGACCATGCAATAATCTCCATAAAAAAAAATCATCTTGTACTTTTTTTTCAGACTCACCCTATCAGTGTACTACTTACTACTACCCCAAAGCTGACTTGGATTCTTTTTGTGATTCTTTTCATGATGGTCCTTGGGCTAATGTCTTTTCCCAGCTAAGAAATATGCCTCCTGCCTTACCTCCTGGATTCAGGCAGGAATGGAAGCTTTAATTCCTTTTTGTTGGCTTCAAAGCAAGCTTTATTATACTCCATGGTTTTCACCTTCTTGTGTAGTAGTTATATCTAATCAGAATCATTTTTTTCATTTATTTAAAAAAAAAAAACTCTCTTGAGAACAAACAGCTATTTATTATTGCAAAAAACCAATGTAAAAAGGTGCTGTATGATGCTAAGCTCCATAATTCTCAATTTAATTAGTCTTGGATTTTATCTCAGAAGTTTGGCTCTAGAGGCTTTTGGATAATCTTTAACAGCGTCATTAACAAGGATAGATCTAACATTCCATTTCTGATTCATGGAACTGATCCTATTACCTTTTTTAAGCTAGAGCATTTGCAAAGAATAAAAAACTTTTCTTCTAATTCAACTTTAAATCTTATGGCCATTCTCCTCTTTCCTTTCCAATTAAACAAGTAAACCCATAGTTAGACATTCAAATTACCCCAGCTTCCATTGCTTAAGTCATATCTCAATTAAACTAGTCTAAAGCTTTTGATCTAGACAACATTTCTATTATAGTCTTACAAAACTGTTCTCTAGAACTCTCTTTAATTCTCTCTAAACTATTTAATAAGTGCTTGACTGAGTCTTGTTTTCCTGCCTGCTTGAAAATGGCATCTGTTATTTCAATTTTAAAAAACTCTAAAGTTTTTGAAAATTGAAACTTTTGAGCTTTTGATCAACAAACTTCTTACATCCTATCTTGAGTTAAATAACTTACTGTCAGAAAATCAATACGGTTTTGATCTTCTCAACACTCTCTAACTGCTGTGATTGAAAGATTTCAACATGTGTTAGATGGAAGCGAAGAGGTTAGGGTTATTGCTCTTAACATATGCTTTTGACAAAGTTTGGCATGCTGGTCTTCTCCATATGCTTGGTTAATATCGTGTATGTTCGAAAGTTTTTGAAATAATAAAATCGTTTCTTTCTTACTGCTTTATTAAAATCTTCCTCGAAGACCAACACTCTTCTTTATTTCCAGTAACTTCTGGGGTACCTTAACATACTATCCTTAGCCCTTTTTTGTTTCTTATCTACATTAATGTTCCCAACAACTAATTTTTTGCTGATGACTTAACTTTATAGTCCTGTCTTGACAAAAAGTTTTCTCTTTTTGATCGCTTAGACTAGGCATCCAATCTTGAATCTGACCTCACTTCTGTAATAGATTGGGGCTTGCAGTGGTTTGTGAACTTTAACTCCAACAAAACCCAGTTATTTACTGCAAACAACTATTGCAATACAGTCAACAGTTCTATATTTATATATGGCAACCCCCTCACTGTTATTTTATTTACATCTTCTTGGATTATTGTTAACTACGAACATATCTTGGAAACCATATATACAATTGATTACTAAATAAGCATCTGCAAAAGTTGTTTCTCTTCATTGTGCTTGCCATTTTCTTACTTCTGATTCCATTCTCTATCTCTTATTTGTCTCTGTATGGAATACTGTTATTTTATTTAGGCTGATTCTTTTAAAGATGCTCTAGACAAACTCCAAAAACGCATTATAAATGTAGTTGGATCCACTCTACCTGCCAAGCTTAAGCATCTCTCTTATCATCATAAAGCTACATCTCTTTTTCTTTTCTACTAATACTATTATAGTCTCTGCACAAAGGAGTTATAATTTTTAGTTTCATCAACTTTTTTGCTTAACTTCTCATTCAGCAAAGTCTAATTCTTTTACTGTATCTGTCCCTGCATGCTCAAAAAAAATCTATTCGTCTAGTTTGTTTCCCCGTACTTTAACCCTTTGGAACTCTCTCCTGTATTCATTTTTTAAAGACTCATACAACCTACAACTTTTTAAGTCTTCTCTTTTCTTTTTTTATCTTGTAACTCATAAATGAGCAGTGGTTGTTTGCAGTCTTGTTAGGAATGAGCCAGAGTTAAAAAACAACTAGTAATAAGAAGCCTATGAAACATATAATTTGAAGTATTATATACTTATGGCAATATATATTTAAGTCAGTCATTTAACAGTCATTTTAAGTCATATTATACAGCCTATTTCATGTTATACAAGTCATATTATACAGTCTATTTCATTATACATATTCATATTATTAAATATATTTTTAAGTCAATATTATTCATTAGTCAGTAACGACTAACTACATACTAGTAAAACAGTAACTATTTAACTAATTTAGAGTCAGTTTTAAATTTAATGGGTTTAATCTTTTGTCTAAAAAACAAACAAAAAATGATGGTAACATTTTTAATATTTAATTTAACATGTCAATGGTATTAAATAATTTTTATTAGAAACAAAAGTAAACAAAAACATCAAAATCATATTTAATAAAACTTTATAGTTACCATGCCATTTGTAATTACAGCTCTGGGTGAAGAAGGGCTACTTGGAAACAAACCCATTGGATGTCCTGAGTACATAACTAAAGTCTGATGTTCACTCATAATAGATAAGTAGTTCATAACAATTAGGAACTAAACAAGAAAAAATTTAGTTAAATATTCAAAAACATAAAAAAGTATATATATAATATAAAAAAAATTTTTTTAAAACAATTTTTGCGGCAAAAAACAATTTATGCGGCAAATTGTCACAGTGAATACAAATAAAACGAATTTGACTTTAAGCAAACATAAATATTACAAATTATATTAAATTATAAATAACTATTAATCTATAAATAAACATAAATTAAAATTCTACTTATAAAGAAATAAAATTTTTAACAAACTTCTGCATACTTGGGCCCAGTTAGAAAAAACATGACCATTCCCACCATAGGTTATTAATTCATTTGGAAACTAAATAATTGAAAAATTTTCATAGTTTTTGTAGATAAGTTATCATAAGTTATTTTTTTAATAAAATAGATTGCGTGCGTGTGTGTATGTGTGTGTGTGTGTGTGTGTGTGTGTGTGGAAGTAGACTTCTTTTACAAAAGTGTTACATTAAAAAATATCATAATATTTGGGATATTAAAGTTAAAAGTACAATATGGTACATTTAAGTACAGTTACTCCATTAATTTGTGCCAGGTTCATAAAACACAATAAAAATGCAAGTTACAAATTAAATTGCTTTATAAATTATTTTTTATTTAACCAAAAAAAAAAAAAAAAATTAAAGCGAAAGTTTAAAAAGTTATAAAACAATGCTTTTGCCCCTATTAACACTTTGCCCCTATTAGCAGCTTTACAAACCAAAAGAAAACAGAAACATCTTCCCTGAGATTGATTGAAACAAAAGCAAACAACACAAGTAAAGGAAAAGTGTACACTGATTGACCTGATCTATTGCTAACAAGAGTGAAGTAAAACCTTGCTTAATAACCAAGGCTTACCTTTCTTTACTTTAAATCAATTGTTTTTAATCTTTGAATTTATTATTGATATCCTGTATATGTGTTCATTAAAAAGTTCCTAACTTTTCCAAACAATTACTATTGTCTGCATTGGAATGCAGCCAATAGTGATAGAAGAACATGTATCTGAAATGAAAAATGTTTAAAATTTCTGAAAGAGTCTACTTATAATTTTTCTATTCATTAATAACTTTTATTAATTTAAAAAACACTTAAAGATCTTTGCTGACAATACTAAAGATATTTTAGTGATTAAGGTTCAAAATGACAGTATAAAGCTTCAAAGTAAACTAAACTTGCAGTCAAAACGATATATCAACCCTTGGAATTAGGAAAAATGAGGTTGGCAATAATTTCCGACCTTAACTTTTTAGAGGTCGGCATCAGGTCGGCAAAAAAATTTGATACAAAAGTCTTACCATAAAACATAGAATCAAGGTCAGCAAAAAATTGCCGATCTCAAACATTTTGATTGGCATTGCCAAATCCTGACCCTAATTTCGATATTTGGATATATACTATACTAGTGGTCAAAATGATATACATCAAACTAGTGGTAAAAATGATATATACTATACTAGTGGTCATATGTATATATAATTTACTAGTGGTCAAATAATAATAACCCCCCCCCCCAAAAAAAAAAAAAAAAAAGATTAAAAAGTAAATGATTTTGGCTAGAAATACAACTACAAAATAATATACGTATTACTATAACAAATGAAAACCACACATTAAAAACAAACTTAAATCTACAAATTTAAAATGTGATAAATAAAAAAAAATTAATAAACAACTTAATTTGATCAAACACTCTATTAAGTATTTAAATGAAACAATAGGAAAACTTTTATATGAAACATGAGTACAACTTTATTTTAAAAACAGTACAGTTATATGGAGTCCTTTTGAGAAAGGTAAAACTGATTCAAATTTCCAACAAAAAGGGGTAGACGTTTTAAAAAAAACAAAAAGAAATCTTGTAATATTCAAGATATTAAAAAGATACAACAAAATAAACATTTGCACAACACGAGCAGTCCTCCATTTGAAACTTACCGCCGGCGAGCGCTTAAAAAAGCGCCAGACATAGTATTGGCGGGCATGTGGGCGAGTGCAAAACTGCAAGAGCGCGAAAGAGCTTGTTAAACGGAGAGGACTGCATGAGAGTTAAAAGAGAAATATTTTAACTTCTTCACAAACAGAATATCTAATGACTTAAACAAGTTGCCACAAGATGTAATAAATTTCAGATTCAAATAACTCAACATAATGAGTCCTATACATCTTTTTAGATTATTCTTCACTACTAAAAACTGATGGAAACAATAAATACAGCATATAGCAAAGTTAGCATTTGTTACTGTTGCCTCTTTATTGTGCTTGTCATTTTTTTAATACTGATTCCTTTTTACACCTCTATAAATTTATTATTCGTTCCTGAATGAAATACAATTGTCATATTTTGCCCTCTCTCTTTTAAATAAAATCCAAAAACACATCATAAATGTTTCTGAATTTGTTTAAACTGCCAAGCTTGAGCGCCATCATAACAAAGTTGCATCTCCTTGTCTTTTTTACAAATACTACCATGGTCACTGCAAGTATCATCACATGTTCCAACTAAAACTTGATCTTGCATTACTCTTGATTCAGCAAAATTGCACATATTATTTTTTAGTGAAACATCAATATTTTTAAAATAGTTTAAAAACCAAATTGTTTCATAAAGGGTGTTATAAACTCAAACTTTATGTGATTCCAGACTTGACTCAGTGACATTTTTTAGTACAGCTGTAGACAAAATATTAGAATTGTGATTAAATTTAATAAATTTTGAAAAAAAATTAGACAAAAAAAAACAAAACAAAAAAAAGAATAACATTTTTTAGGCTATTTTCGTTTTGTTTTTGCTGTCATACTCTTTTCAACAATACAAAATTGAAACCTTGAAGAAAAAACTGCTGCACAGAGAAATGGATGTTCTTTCAGAAACAAGGATATACTTTCAGAAACAAGGATGTTCTTTCAGAAACAAGGATGTTCTTTCAGGGATTTAGCAGGTAAGCTAGTGGTATAGAACCGCTACTGCACATTACATTTAATAATGTATTAAGTGAGAATGTATACTAAACAATGAAATATTTCATTACACATGATTTATAATTACACCAGCATGAAAAGTATTTTTTTTTTTTAATGGGTAATTTTAAAAACACTAGTGTCATTTTGCATATTGTTAAAAAAAAAACGTATTCTTTATTCCGAAATTATTTAAAAGTGTTTTTTTTTTTAAATTTACCTGAGCAACTCTTGGATCAAGATTGTTCATTATCATTAGCATTATAGCAGCAGCTTGACGAGTTTTACAAGGATACTCATCAATTGGGTAAGCTCTAAAAATCAAAAATTAAATTATTAATTATAAATGCTTTCAATATACCAAAATTGTTTATTTTAAACAGTCATCCTTTTTAAATTTAATTATGGCTTTTACAGCACCGATTTTAAATTAAAAATCTGTGACTTACTTTTTAACAGCGCACTTGGCGTAGGTGTCGTAAGGATAAGTTTTGTTACCTTATTTTTTAGAATCTTATATCAACTTAGACTTTAGCGTATGGCAGACAAAATTTAAAAAAAGGAAGACAAAAAAAAAAAGAAAAATAGAAAGAATTTTAAAAAGTTGCATGCTGCATCAGATAAAAGAAATGTTTCAGATAAAAGAATTGTAGTTTGACCATAAGCGTAGTGTGACCACACTTGTGGTCAAACTACACTTATGTAGTTAAGGCCACAATTCAAGTTGAATATATACTCCAGTGATTGAGAAATACTTGAATAATTGAGACAACACTCCTGAAGTTATAACCACATTGTTACTATTGAGATCATTATCCTAAGATAAAAAACAACAATCCTATGACTAAAACAACAATCCTGTAATAGATCATACTTGGGTCAAAGAAGTCTAATAACCAAACATTGTTAGGTGTCTGGTAGTATATTACTTCATACACCATACCAGCTTTCACTCGCATTTATTGGGCAAAGGAAATAAATACTAAATTTTAAAAATGGTATGTACTTCATTTCAATTGAAGGTTGAAACCGATACATGTAAATATGACCATAGTTGATTAACTCTTCAGCGAATTCATAAGCTAATTCTTCATGAACATTTTCTGGAAAATACCGTAGTGCATTTTGAACAGCAAGCTAAAAAAAAGATATAATTTTTAACTAAAAAAATTTTTAATTTAACTTGTTGAAAAAATTGTTTTTCATGTTTATTAGTTAGATTATTATGTTATAGTTTGCTATATTATGCAACACTATTATGTTGCACAACACATTTATTGGAGATATTGTATTGTGCAACACATTTCAAGCCTTCCCAGGAAAGGCGTGCGGTTTTTCGTCTTGTACGATCACGAAAACGTTTTTCAAGTTAGAGAATGTGATCACGGCCGTTTGCGCAAGTTTTATTATATGCTTTGTTGAAAAATTGTTTTAAATATAATAACTACAGAAGAAATTAAAGTAAACTTAAATAGAAAACCATAATAATAGTTTAAACAATTTGTGTGAAGTTTTTTTTTTTTTTTCTTAGTGGTTATTATTATCGGCAACATAATTCAGTTTTCAAACAAAAGTCAAAGCAAAAAAAAAAAAAAAAAAAAAAAAAAAGTTTTAGGCGTTAAAAAGGATGACTTTCCCATATTTTATGTGTTTTTTTATTTAAAGAGGAAAGAGAAAATATGTATCGTCATCTGTTTGTAAAATATATTTGTATAATTATAATGTTACAAGTATATATTAAGGGTTAAATTATACAATCGCGATTCGCAAACTCTGGTAAAATATTTGGTCTTTAAAATATTTGGTCTATAAAAGTAATAAAACTATAATAGTGTTATTACATTTATAAAGCACTTATTACTTTTAAAGTTCATTCTTTGTTCAAACAACATTATTAATTCCAAACATTTGTTATTATATTATAAGTAGAAAAGCATCTAGAAAAAATAAAACGGTTATTAAAATATTAATGAAAATTTCAGGAACTTTTACAGATCACTTAAACAACGTTATAAAAGAGTATTTTATAAAAAGTAAAAACGCTCGTTAATTTTAAAATCAACCAAAAAAATTTTGTATTGGTTAATTTTAAAATTAATGCACGTTTTTATGGTCCATTAGTAACGGTTTTCATAATGCTAAACATTTAATACGTTACGTTTTTACAAAGTTGTTTGTCACGTTTTTTATAAGTTATTTTTAAATATTTTTTATTTAAGTTTTAAATATTATTTGAACATCCACTTTATACTTCTAGATATTTTTCTACTTCAATTAAAATTTGGGATTACTTATGTTGCTTGAACAAAGAAGGAATTTTAAAAGTTATAAGTGTGTTTACTTTTGTAATGCAGTTAGTGACAAGAGTGTTACTACTTTTGTAATCTTAAGTTTATTGTTTTGTTTTTTATTTTTATGCTTACAAATTTAAGTTGATTCGCCCCTTAAAAACAAGGAACACAGTTTTGTATAAACTAAAATTTTGAATGCTAGATATTTTTCCAGATTTTGCATTTCGCATTCCCTTAATTTAACCTTTGTTATTACATTATTGTTGTTACATTAAAATTATACAAATATATTTTACAAACACATTGCAATTTATATTTTTGCTATCCTTTTAAAAAAAAAGTTAAGAAAAGGAAAATCATTCTTTTTATTTGTAGTCTTCTAACTGTTTTTTTTTTTTGCTTTGCCTTATCTTATTTTGTTGCTGGATGTAACAACCACTCTAAAAAAACAAAAATAAAAACAGTAGACAAATAATTTAAACTATTAATGTGTTTTTATTTTTTTTTATTTTAATCTCTTTTTATTTTATTAGTTTTGTTTTTTTTTGTTTTTGAAACTTTTTCAGCATTAATTATTATAAAACTTGCGAACAGCCGTGTTCAAGTTGTCTAAAATAAGATACTTGCGTGTGGTCACACAAGACGAAAAACCGCACGTCTTTCCTGGGAAGGCTTGCATTTATTTTTATTTATTTGTGCATCCATGGCGCAGTGGTTAGAGCGCTTGCTTAATAAGCAGGAGATCCAGGTTCAAAATGAGCTTTGACATATTTCATGTCACGGTAAGGAAGGAGGCTCCAACTTCCTGGTTTAATGCAGTTTTGCAGTGCTCTGTGACAAGACCGTTAGGACTTCTTGGGGCACCTAAATAACAAATTTAGAAAAAAAAAATGTATTGGAGATATTGCATTGCGCAATACATTAATAATGCGCAACACCTATATATTGTGCAACACATTTAGAGCAATAATGTATGACTTTGTATAATATATAAAATTTACAAATTTAAAATTTTAAAAAAGATCTTTGATTTAAAGGATAAAATAATTAATATATAATATAGTATAAAATATAAATATATAAAAAAAATATCGTAATACCAACAAATATATTTTGTATCATAAAAAAACTTTCAATAATTAGTTTTTGAAACAATACAAACCTTTATCTCTTGTGGTGATAAATTAGGTGTTCGTACAGGTGCATGCAGAACATTATTGTCCCGTGATCTCTTTTTAGGAAGTGGATTAAGTGGTAAACCAGCACATATTTCTTTTAAGGTAGTCATTCTATATAATTTTTATACTGTTTGAAATAAAAATTATTTCTTAAAAAAAATCACTACGTTATTGTACTCACAAAAAACAACTTTTTTTTTATGAAATTTTTGTTTATAAGAATTAATACACACCCATATAAAAAAAAAAAATATATATATATATATATATATATATATACACATATAAATAAAATATATACATATATATAATATATATATATATAAATATATATATATATATATATATATATATATATATATATATATATATATATATATATATATATATATATATATATATATATATATATATATATATATATACACATATTCACACACTTGAAAATAATAAAAAAATTTAATTTTGATAATAAATATCATGATTAAAATAATTATAATAATTGCATTCATATATTTTACATTAAAATTTAAAACTAGAAAATAATTCAAAGTCAGTTGGAACGTCAGGGATTAAACATGAATCTGAATCATCATCTTTAGAAATAGTTGTAGAGTTATATGGATTCATCACTGCTTCATCAACTAATAAACTGATCTCATTTGTGAGTCCTGAAATATGAAATAAGGTTTCATCAGAATCGCTATCGGAAATTTCAATTATAGATTGATGTTGAAGACCATCTTCGATTTTTATAAAGCGATTTTCAGAAGCATTTAAGTCAAAATTGTTTTTTTTTGCTTTTTTATTTGATACAGAACATTCTGAATCACTGGATCTCTTTAAACCTCTCTTTAAATTAACAGAAGATTTTTTAGCAAGTTGTTTTCTTCCAATCTGCATGTTTCTATTCACTGTTAAAAGTTGATTAAAACTAATTTCAGTTTCAGAGGTGTGTTCTGTTTCCTGAATGTTTTCACACACAGGTGAGAGTTGATGAAATCTATTATCAATTTCACTGTGATCCTTTATCTTGATATCACCTTCAAAAGAACTAGAAAACAATGGTAATTTAATTCTATAGTTTTTTTGTATTTTTTCAGGGGAGCATGTTGATTTAAAAGAACTATTCAAACAGTTTTTATCTAATGATACCATTGTTGTATTCATAATATTATTGTTATTATTTTTATTTGGTTCTTGATTGATTAACTGATTGAAAACAGAATCTTCTTTGATTGTACCTTCACAAAAAGAACTTTCATATTTAGCATCTTTATTTTTTTCTGTTTTCAAAGAACTAAAAGGTTTATGCTCCTTATTTACATCAAAAGAACTATGTATAATTAATTGATTGCTTTTTATAGGCAAATCACTTTTTCCCTCTGTCATTGATTGATTTAATGGTAAAAGCTTTTTATGCGAAGATGCTGTAACCATTGACTTTTTTCTTGATTTGATCGTTTCAATATGATTCACAAACTCTTTATTGTAATGATTTGCTGTGAATAATAATTAAAATATAGAAAGATTTTTTTTTTTTAATTATTAAAAATAATAATAAAGAAAATTTAATAATAACTAAAATATAAAAAGAATTTTTTTTTTCCTAAAAAAAAAAAAAAAAATTAAGAAAAATATAAAAATTTTACAAAAAAACAACAAAAAACTAAAACATGTAATGACACAATTTTGAAATCTATTTATTTTAGTATTATTTAAATATTTTTATTAAGAAGTTTTATTGAATAAAATGCTCACAGTAGTTGAGAGTAAATTCTTGCTTTTTTTCCTCTGAATAACGAAGGTCAAAGGTTTGAGGCTAAAAAAAAAGTCTCAGCACAAAACAATGACAAAAGTGATTAACTTGATTACATCAACATAAATATAACAAAACAAAATCAAAAAGAAGTCAACTTAATTGTGACAACATTTAAAAAACAGACGATAAAACACTTATTCTATGTACCAAAACATTGGCTTTGTAACCATGTATTTTCAGCTGTTCTTCTTCCTTTGAAACCTGCATAGCAATTTCTTGTGCTTCAAAATAAAAACAATTGTAATCAATATTTTGGGCTAAAAAAAACTAGATGGGCTTACTAATGTAAAAAAACTAGATGGGCTTACTAATGTAAAAAAACTAGATGGGCTTACTAATGTAAAAAAACTAGATGGGCTTACTAATGTAAAAAAACTAGATGGGCTTACTAATGTAAAAAAACTAGATGGGCTTACTAATGTAAAAAAACTAGATGGGCTTACTAATGTAAAAAAACTAGATAGGCTTACTAATTTAAAAAAATTTAAGTATTTTCTAAAAACTACTAATTAACAAAGGGAACTAGCAACAAACTAAATAAAGATCAAATAAAATTCACACTAAATACTTACCACTTAAAGGATGTGATGAATCACATTGTGAGTTATACAGAAGAATATAGTGATTAATTCTCTGAGTCAATGCCTTTGAATTACATTAATAAAAATAAAAATATAAAAAAATTTAACTGATTTAAAAAAAAAAAAAAAAATTAATCACAATAATTTTACTTTTCTATCTCCTATGGTATATAACCCAAAAGATTTTGCTTTATTGCGAAGTTGTTTATTACTCAGCGAGTCAAAGCAAACCTTGGCCAGAGGTTTCATCAATATAGTTGCAGATGACAAACTAAAGAAAAGAAAAAAAAAATCATCTTTACAATAAAATTTCTTTTTAAATGCAATATTATTGTTGTGTTATTATATTGTAGTTATAAAACTTCTTGTGTTGTTAGAAAAGTGTTGCAGTTTCCTAAAGTATTTTACTTAAATTATCTAAAGCAAGCTTCCATTATAAAAGTATTATTTACTGCAAACAACTATCGCAGTACTGTCAGCATTCTTTATTTATTAAAATGTTTATAAATTGCGACCCTCTCACTGAGTTCTCTTCTTTATGTCTTCTTGGATTATAATTTACTACTGACCTTTCATGGAAATCATATATACAATCAATTGTTAAATTAGCAGCAAAAACTAGCAAAAAAAGTTTTAATAAAATTTAAATTTTATATATGCCTAGAAGTAACATGAACACCAAAAAATTATTACAGATTAAAAAATTCTATAATGCATATTTATCATATTATGTATTTTAAAATAATATTTTTGCTCTTAGATTTCATACATGCATGTAAATTTATGGGATTTAAGAGGCAAATAGCATAATAAAAAAAACAACTCGACAACCAATGTTTCAACTAATGACAACTTGTTGATTATTTGATTCATAGAATTAATAGTTGGATTCAAGATAATATATTAGAAGTTATTTATTTAAGGACTGAAAACATTGCTAATAATAATAAGCAGGTAGAAAAACAAAATTCAATAGGGCATTTTTTCAGCAGAGAACCAAGAGGCTGTATCACATTTGACTTTTGACTGCTTATTATTAAAATGTATTTTAAGATGAAATGTATATAATCACTTCTAGTGACAAAAGTCATAGAATTTAGAGGAATTTAAAGACACTAGAAGGCTGTATGTCCAAAAAATATTATTATCAACTAGATGTATGTTCTTTGACTAATCAAAGAAGTTGTTAGCAGCATTGCGGAGAAAAAAAATAGAGTTGTCAAGCTGCAAGTCTTACAAAAAAAAAAAAAACTTTTGAAATTTGTTTATGACAAAAATAATATTGATAAAAAAAAATAATTTAAATTCACCACCCAACAAAAAACAAAAGCTTCCTAAAAATACAGAAGAGATAAAATGTTGAATAGTTATCAAATAACTCAAGATACTTTATGTTAACATAATTAAAGCATTCCCAGAACCTACAGTCGCTTCTAACACATAAGTACAAACAGAGAATACATTCAAGAAAATCTGAATATGACAATATTGAATGAGAAATATTGTGAGAAATGTTTTTGACAACATTAGTTCCCCAAAATAAAGTATTTATATAACAATATTTAACGAAAAAACTTTTTGTCAAAAAGAAGTATAAAGTTGACTCACCAGCAGAAATTACTGAAAATAAAGTTTAGTGCTGGCCATAGAGGAGGGTTTTAATACTGCAATAAGAGAGAAATGATTTAACAATTCCTAGATACACCATATGAACAAAGTTTATGGAGAAGACCAGCATGTCAAATTGAAAGTTTTGGATATATCAAGAGTAATAGATCTTACCTTGCCGCTTCCATCTAATTAACGATAGAATCTTTTAGCTACACCAATAAGCAAGTCAGCCATAGAACAAGAAGATCAAAATCTGTATTTGATTGTTAGAGTAAGTTATTTGGCTTAATCTGTATTTGATTGTTAGAGTAAGTTATTTGACTTAATCTGTATTGATTGTTAGAGTAAGTTATTTGACTTAATCTGTATTGATTGTTAGAGTAAGTTATTTGACTTAATCTGTATTGATTGTTAGAGTAAGTTATTTGACTTAATCTGAATTGATTGTTAGAGTAAGTTATTTGACTTAATTTGTATTGATTGTTAGAGTAAGTTATTTGACTTAATCTGTATTGATTGTTAGAGTAAGTTATTTGACTTAATCTGTATTGATTGTTAGAGTAAGTTATTTGACTTAATCTGTATTGATTGTTAGAGTAAGTTATTTGACTTAATCTGTATTGATTGTTAGAGTAAGTTATTTGACTTAATCTGTATTGATTGTTAGAGTAAGTTATTTGACTTAATCTGTATTGATTGTTAGAGTAAGTTATTTGACTTAATCTGTATTGATTGTTAGATTAAGTTATTTGACTTAATCTAAATTGATTGTTAGAGTAAGTTATTTGACTTAATCTGTATTGATTGTTAGAGTAAGTTATTTGACTTAATCTGTATTGATTGTTAGAGTAAGTTATTTGACTTAATCTGTATTTGATTGTTAGAGTAAGTTATTTGACTTAATCTGTATTGATTGTTAGAGTAAATTATTTGACTTAAAGTGAGTTATTAGAAATTTGTTCATTAAAAAATCAAAGACCTTGTTAATAATAGAGAGAAGACTTATCAAACAATAGTAGGAGGAGCCAGAGTGTTTTCCAGAGTTTTTAAAAATTTAAAAACAACAGATATCATTTTCCAGCAGGCAAGAAAGCAAAATTCAGTCAAGCCTTTGTTAAATAAGTTAAAAAGAATTTTTGTATGAATATGACAGTTTTTTCGAGGAATTTGAGAAATGACTTGAGCAACAGAAGCTGAAGTGATTCGGATGACTGAAAATGGGTAAACTCGTTTACTGGAACAGCAGTAAAAGTATGGCCATTAAATTCAAGAGTTGAATTAGAGAAAAAGTTCTTTGCAAATAGTTCTGCCTCGGGAGTAATTGAAATTTGAATATAGAATAATTACCACATGTACCATGTGTACCACAGGTGTTCAGCAATTTTGTGAGCCAGGAAAACTGTTAAGGAAGTAGACAGCATACTTGGCATTACTGAATAAAATATGGAAATAGTTCAAGCTTACAGTTTTATCGGCCTTATCAAAATACTAAATTAAATTCCTAGAAAGAATCAATGATTTTATTTCAAGAAGTTGATCCAAATTAAAAAAGAGCAGATAATGGACTTATTTTATTGGTTATGCAGTGAAGCCACAGAGTGTCGCATACAAAATAAGTTTGTATACAGCAACTCTGAATAAAAGCTGGAAAATAATTCAAAGTATAAAACTAAAAACCAAAATTCAGATAACAAAAAAATAGCAAAATGTAAAATTTGTGTAAATCAAACAAAAATCAGAAGATCTAAAAAAGATGTTTAATTCATGCGCCATTCAGACAAAGTAAATATAACATTAATCTTACAAACAATCACCAAGTGTTCAACTTTAGCTATAAAAATTTTAATTTTTAATAGTTGATAAATATAAAAAAAAATTTTTTTTTTTTTAAATCAGATTTTAATCAGTTTACAGAAAGTTGTAAATTTTATTATGCAAACTGTTGAATTTCATTTTTATGAAACTGAATGTTTGCATCAATCCTTTATTTAATCTTTTATATATATATTGATGTTGTTCATAAATACTATTGTAGTTTGTTCATAAATACTATTGTAGTTTGTTCATAAATACTATTGCAGTTTGTTCATAAATACTATTGTCGTTTGTTCACAAATACTTTTGTAGTTTGTTCATAAATACTATTGTAGTTTGTTCACAAAGAGTATTAAAGTTTGTTCACAAATACTATTGTAGTTTGTTCATAAATACTATTGTAGTTTGTTCACAAATACTATTGTAGTTTGTTCACAAATACTATTGCAGTTTGTTTATAAATACTATTGTAGTTTGTTCACAAATACTATTGTAGTTTGTTCATAAATATTATTGTAGTTTGTTCACAAATACTATTGTAGTTTGTTCATAAATATTATTGTAGTTTGTTCATAAATACTATTGCAGTTTGTTTATAAATACTATTGTCGTTTGTTCACAAATACTATTGCAGTTTTTTCATAAATACTATTGTAGTTTGTTCACAAATACTATTGTATTTTGTTCATAAATACTATTGTAGTTTGTTCACAAATACTTTTGTAGTTTGTTCATAAATACTATTGTAGTTTGTTCACAAATACTTTTGTAGTTTGTTCATAAATACTATTGTAGTTTGTTCACAAAGAGTATTGCAGTTTGTTCACAAATACTATTGTAGTTTGTTCACAAATACTATTGTAGTTTGTTCATAAATACTATTGTAGTTTGTTCACAAATACTATTGTAGTTTGTTCACAAATACTATTGCAGTTTGTTCACAAATACTATTGTAGTTTGTTCATAAATACTATTGTAGTTTGTTCATAAATACTATTGTAGTTTGTTCACAAATACTATTGTAGTTTGTTCATAAATACTATTGTAGTTTGTTCACAAATACTATTGCAGTTTGTTCATAAATACAATTGTAGTTTGTTCACAAATACTATTGTAGTTTGTTCATAAATACTATTGTAGTTTGTTCACAAATACTATTGTAGTTTGTTCATAAATACTATTGTAGTTTGTTCACAAATACTTTTGTAGTTTGTTCATAAATACTATTGTAGTTTGTTCACAAAGAGTATTGCAGTTTGTTCACAAATACTATTGTAGTTTGTTCACAAATACTATTGTAGTTTGTTCATAAATACTATTGTAGTTTGTTCACAAAGAGTATTGCAGCTTGTTCACAAATACTATTGTAGTTTGTTCACAAATACTATTGTAGGTTGTTCACAAATACTATAGTAGTTTGTTCACAAATACTATTGTAGTTTGTTCACAAATACTATTGTAGTTTGTTCATAAATACTATTGTAGTTTGTTCACAAATACTATTGTAGTTTGTTCACAAATACTATTGCAGTTTGTTCATAAATACTATTGTAGTTTGTTCACAAATACTATTGTAGTTTGTTCATAAATACTATTGTAGTTTGTTCACAAATACTATTGTAGTTTGTTCATAAATACTATTGTAGTTTGTTCACAAAGAGTATTGCAGTTTAATAACAAATAATACTGTTGTTTGTTTACAAATACAATAGTAGTTTGTTCACAAATACTATAGTAGTTTGTTCACAAATACTATAGTAGTTTGTTCACAAAGAGTATTGTAGTTTGTTCACAAAGAGTATTGTAGTTTGTTCACAAAGAGTATTGTAGTTTGTTCACAAATAC